AGGCGATAACTCGACTCAGAAAAGAAAAATTCTTATATTCAATTTTTGGCCCGCGGCCAATTTTTGGGGCGTTTTTATTTGGAAAAAGAGAAATTTGCATCTTTTGCCTTTTCGCTTCGGATCTTTAACGGCCTAAAGGGTCGTTTAATTGGGCAAAACGCTACTTTTGTTTTGAAAAAAGGGGTTGTCTTTACATTTTTTTGAATTTGTAAGCATATTTTTATTTTTTTTTAAAGTTTAAACATTTTTTAATTTTTTTAAAATTTTAATCACATTTTCAGTTTTTTTTTAATTTTTACGATATTTTTCAACTTTCCTCAATATTTCAAAACCTTTTCCGAACCCTTCACGCCTACATGCCTTCAAAACAACAACAGTTTGGTCCAGGTTTTGTTCATGAAGATTGGATATCACATAACGTACCAAATGTCATAACACTCTGCTTTCGCTTCTTTGACAACTGTAGAGGACGTTTAATCTGAAGATGATGTATGAAAAAACAATAGATAAGATAATCTACTGTGCTTAAAGTTTTGGCCGAGAAAATGCATTTTAGCGACGTTTTTGGTTGGAAACGTTCTGGGGAAGAAGCATCATATTAGTTAAAGTTATAATATTAGGTTGTTCAAAAAGTTTTGAGCCCTCTTTTTAACTTACAGTTAATAATATAAATCCACTAGCTAACATAATATTTTCAAAACTGCCTGTATTTCACCAAAACTCAACTCATATAAACCACGACTAACCGTACCCTACCCCGAAATGCATAATCAATATCCCCATTACAGTTATAACCTTCCGTGAGATCGTAAACATGTGCGCAGTAGATTTAAAACCTGCACTCCAAATCGAAAAACGTAGAAACAAAAGAAAGGGCTGGATATGGGCGCTGGCCTTGCATGGGATTTAACTGTACACTACCCTTTAATCCTGCCGACCAGCTATGTTAAATCATAACGATCAGGTTTGGTTTCTGATATTCTGATTTAAAACTGAATATTAGTAAGGTATGAAACTTAAAAGTATAAAAATAATTATAAAAAAGCTAGAAGAGCAAGAATTTAAAAGTAAAAAGTAAATTAAGACTAGTACATATAAACCTAAAGTAGGGCTAAAGTCAGTCAAAGGTACTCTTATCAAAAGTAAGACTAGATCATCACTAGGGTAAGGTAATGTAAAGGCTAATATAAATGCCAAGGCAAAAGCTAAAGTTCATGCTTGGGCTTAGGCTTCGGCGCAGAATCAGGCTCAGGCTTAGACTCAAGCTTAGGCTCAAGCTCAGGCTCAAGCTCAAGCTTAACCTCAGGCTCAGACTCAGGCTCGGGTTTGCGTTTAAGCTCAGGATCAGCAACTAACATTAAAAAACTGGACAAAGGTATATTAGTACGTTTTAAAATCAGTAAATAAACTCACAACATCGAAGACAAGATTAAAATAGAAAAATGTTGTTGTAGCCAAAAATACATGTCAAAACATCCCAAAGTTGTTATGGCAACATCTTTGTTTACCTTCTTAAACAAAAAGTGAAATTTGAGTTTTGACGCGTCTTTTTATGTATTCAAATAAAAACGAAATTTTACGCGAGGTCAAATTAAAACCGACGTAGTAAAAGGCGCCTTAAGGGGTTGGAAATAAAAGTTTTGCATTTTACAAAATTTTTTTTTTAATTTTGAAAATTTTAAAATTTATAATAAAACAAACTACTCAAATCTACCCTAACTTAACTTCTTCTATCTTACCTTCTTCGGCCTTACCGGCCTCTGTCTTACCCACCTTTAACATAATAATCAACCAGTAATGTTTCAGTAAACACCTGACTCAAACTTCGAAATCTTTAAAATAGCTAAAAACCTTTGAAACAATTGTCTGATCTTCTGAATATGTTGATCCGCCCCCTTTCCACGGTCATGATTAATGAGATTGGTTGTGTGCCAAAGTTAAAACAAAGAAAACGACTTTTCAAGTTGTAGGAGCCAGTTGTCGGCCATAATTGATACGAATGATATCATCAGCATATAAACATGAACGTTTTGTTGCGATTAGTCATTTTGTGCACGAGGGGGGATGTCTTCGCTTGTTTTTGGGAAAACAAGTATAAATAGTAATGGCATGGCATAAATGTTGTACTATTTAATGAAAAACACTTCTTTTAGCTAGTATGCCTTTAGGGTAAACCTAAAAAACGAAAAAAGGTAGAAGAGACCTATGGCTAAACATAAGGCTATGTTTAACAATTGTAAGGCTATAAAGTATAAAATTAATGCAAAGGCTAAACCTGGCTAAGCTAATAACACTAGCTAAAAATGAAAACCTTAAATATTTTTTAATCCCAATAAAACCAATAACAACATGTGTTTACAACTCGAAAAAAAAGTTTTACGTGTAAAATCGTTTTTGAGGGATTTTTCTAAAGCGTCAAGGTCAGAATGAAGTGAAAGGACTCAAGGCCGAAATTCGAGAAACACAACAAACATAGTAAAGGCACAAATAAACAAAGTAATCAAAATACATTTAACTGAATTTGCAAAAACATTGTTTTAGGTTCAAAAAATTTAACAAGATTTAAAATTCAAAAGGGCTTTTAGGTAATAAAATTGATTTCGGTTACAATCCTAATTTTCATCAAAAACCTATGATAGTAAAACAAAAGGTCAAAGCAGGCTAATTTTTCTGCTATGTTTAAATTTGCTTCTCAGCTCACAAATTGCCAGCACTTCCCAGTCAAGACCCACTCAAAGCCCAGCCAAGGACGCGCCAAGGACTTGCCAAGGCCCAGCCAAGATTCAGCCGAGATCCAGCTAAAGCTTCTCCAAGGCTCAGCTACGATCCAGCTAAAGCTTAGCCAAAACTCAGGCAAGGCCTGCCAAAGCCTGGCCAAAGCCAGGCCAAGGCTCAAACAAAACCCAGCCAACAAAAATCCTAAGGTTATAATATAATGTCATGTGAAATACAAAGTACTCTTTTATGTTTTCAAACAGACTACAACAAAAAACGTTAAAAGGTCAAGAAAATAAAGAGTAACAAAAAGAGTTTGGTACCTAATTAGCTTAACTTTGCCTTTCTGACTCATTAAACTCTTTTGAACTCTAAACAACTTTCTAAAGGTTACAATGTTTCTTACTTTCTAAAATATTTAAACATAGTTATGTCAATCCCATTATATTTTTAGGCAACAAACAATCAATAACAGAAACATTTGTTATAGTAAAACAACATATTTGTTTTATAAAGTATCGTATAATAAAATTCTACAGAGTAATGACAATATGCTTCTCACCTATACACTACAGTTGAACCACATTACACTACAAACTCAAGTATTACTCTTGTGAACCCTGTAATTATATTGTCGAGATTATTAACCGGCTTCGTATTTCATTCTGCCTTTCCCTCTAAAAGCCGGCTCCAAATACTCAAAATCGGCTTTCATCCGTCTCCATAACAACCTCCAAAATAGATACTCATTTAAAACAATATAGTCATTTATATATAGAAGACAATGTATTGTCCTTCAATATGAATATCATACAATTGTACTTTAAGGCTACATAAACAACTATGCTATCTTGTAAACTAACATATTTATAACAATATAGCCAATCCTAAACTACAAACTCATTTGTACATCCTCAACAAGACGTTCTTTCATAAAAATGCATCTAAATCAATATGCCTTCATTTATATATCTAAAACAATGCATTGCGGTATTCCTTTTGTAAAAACCCATTTTCCATAAAACTTCACATAAATCACAGTTTTTTCAAAAGTTTTCAGCTTTGAAAAGCGTTTGGTAACAAATGAATAACAGACTTCAACGTTACTTTTACAAGATAAATGTTATTCTTATTCAAAAATTATAAAAACTTGTTCAAATAAGTTGAAATTGTTGCCAAAAATAATGTTTGTACGATGAGTAATTTTAATATCATAGTTTTTTTTATATTTGAGTTAAAAATAAATCCTTTAACAAAAAAAAATTTGAAAGGTTAGGATACAGTTGACAAATGCTTAAAATTGTTGGCAGAAATTATAGTGTTACAAAAATTACAAAAAAGAGTAAATCTAAAGCTAGAATTAAGAGTAGAGTCGTACTAATTTTACGGGTAAAGCTAAGAGTCGGGCTGAAGCGAAGGCTAAGGATAAGACAAATTTAAAACTAGAGCTATAGTTAAGGCTAAAGCTAAACATACGACGGTATAGTTAGAGTATAGTTTTGTATTTTTTTAAACACACTTACGTTAATCAATGTATTATTCTATTATACAATAATATAACCTTGTAAGAGGCTTACTATTTTCGGGCCGAAACATCTTTGAACGAGTGCCGGATTATGCTGGCCTAACGGCAGGACTTGAATGAAAATTGTAGGGACTCAGCTCAGTCCTACAACGTAAGATTTTAGAATAAATTTTGAAATGGCTTTAAAAATTAAAATTTAAAAATTTTTTATTATTTAAGTGCAGAAGCAGTACAACACAAGTTGTCTTAGTTAAAACTTTAAAGATATTTTAATCAATTTATATAAGAGGCTGGGACAAAAAATAGAGATTGATCCGGAATCTTTATAGGCGTAATGTAGTACAGTTTTTCAAACATTGAATTTTTAATGTTTATGCAGTACTTCAAAAAGCTGGTGTTGTAACCATAATATTACACAATGTATAAAAAATGTTAAAAAATTGATTTTAATTTGCAGCCACTTATAATAGAGTTTTGCATCCAAATAGTTACAACCTTGTTCACCAAAAATACATTTTTAACAGTTTTTAAAAAAATTTATATGTACATTTATATTTATGTTACGTTAATTATAAATAAAATATTTTAAAATTTCAAAACCCTCAAGTTTACATTTCATTTGTGATGAGTAATGAGCACATGGAACAGCTGCTTCTCAAATGTCTTTAACCATATAAAAAAGAACGATTACCTGTAAAAAATAAAAGTAAAAACATTAAAAGTGTTTTCCTTCAACAACCTTTCTTCATTTTCTTTCCAAATGCTCCAGAAATTGATCTTTCTTTCCTTGTTTTCCTTTGCCATTTCGGCCGAAGTTTCTCATTATCAGCACGTCAAGGCGGAAGTGAGGGAGAATGGTGCTCCTGTCACTGTATCAGGCGGGGGAGAAGAACGTAAGTTTTAAAAATGTTTTTTAAAACTGAATTTAGACTTGAAAGGGTCCCACTTGAGCTTTTTGGCCTCGGGATTTAGCTCGACCTAGTCCCTTGCCGGGCCAGTACAAATTTAAAAACGGCCGGGCCTGGGCCGCACATGTAAGCTCAAGAGCTGGAGTCAAAATTAAGTTTTGGCTTCTATATAGATGATTTAAAATTTAGTTGATCTCAAAATAAAAAGATATTATTATAGAGCACACAGTCCAAACAGCCACAGTAGTAGGACCTACTACCACCCACACCGTCTTCAAGGGTCTTCGTGACCTTTTAGACGAAATGGAGAATCAATTTTCGAATTTCAAAGTACCATCCTTCTCTTTTTCATCCGACCACTACCCAGCATCAGTATCATCCGTCCATCCCAAGTACAGTACGTTCGGCCAATCTTCAAGCAGTCAAGGCATAATGCCCATGCCTGGCCAAAAATCCTTCAGTCAGATTATGATGCCATCTGCTAGCCAAAAATGCGATCGTATCGCTGGAGCCGATTCTCTGAAGTTCGAATGTGGTGTAGCCGACTTCAAACCAGAAGAAGTTCATGTCAAACTGAATGGTGAGACCTTGAAGTTGAGTGGATATCATGAACAAAAGATCGATGGAGGAGTGAGGAAGATTAGTTTTGAAGAAAGTGTTCTGGTACCTGCTGTTGATTACAATTTGGACGAGATCAAGAGCTTCATCGACCAGAATAATGTGCTGAATGTTGTTGTACCTAAAAAGAAAACGGCCAAAGGTGAAGGTGTTAGAGAAATTGCTGTTCAGAGAAGTTAAAATGGTAACAATGGTACTTTTTTATTTGTTTTAGTACTTTATATAGCATTGTATTGACGTTGTTTTCAACTTTATATATACTACTTGGATTCATTTGCTGTAAATTGATTAAAACTTTCTGAAAACACAATAAACTTATTCATAAGCTACATATTTATACTTAAAGATGATTTATAATAGCACTTATTAGTTAGAAAGTATATTTTTAATATGTAAAGTTAGTATAAAGAGTACTTGCTACAATATAAACTACGTATTGTACCAAAACCCCCTAATAAGCCGTCCTTTATTCACATGCCCTTTAACTTCTTTTGCTTCATTTACTTGATTGATCAAGAGCAACCTGCCAATCGGTTACTCATTTGGCGCTGTAATGCCCTTTCTCACCTTTTGACGCAAAGCTGCTGACATCTTTATTCTATGCTTATATTACTATCGTATTTCAAGATTTAGTACTAGAAAGAATGAAAAGTTTGGTTTCAATTTTGAAGTTTATACAGTGGATATCCTGTATAACAAATTGCTTGGAATTTTAAATTTTTTCGTTATAAAGAATTTTTAATAGACTTTAATAGTTTTAGATGCACTCTAATTTTTGTAAATTTTATTTGCCGTGGGCAAGCGCAGGTCTAAAACTTTTAATTTTGAAAATTTTTATAAAAAAAAGTAGTTGATATCATTAGTAATTTAATCTTGAAATATTAAATTTCTACTTTGTAGAAACAAAAATGTTCAATTTCAAACTTAACAAAGTGTTAGGCATCGTGCAAGCTCTTTTTATCACTAATAATTTTTTTTTACATTTGTAAAATTAAAATTTAAAATTTTTTCTCAAAAAATTTTTTTTTATTTTACGGTAAAACTACAAAGAACTTTTGTATAACAAAGATGCTGTATGATGAACAAATTTTAATTCTTTGACCAACATTACAGTTAATCTCAAACTTCTGTGCAACGAAACTCCTTTATAACGAACAAATTTTAGAGTTCAGTGCAATTCTTTATACACGAGTAGTACTGTAGTTTTACTTTTTATAATTTGTAAGTTATAGTTTCTTAGGTTTTTTAAAAATTATGTTCATAATACTATCAGGTTGTCCAAATAAGGTAGAGCCAAAAAATTTTTTTTGAAATTTGCAAATAATTTTTTTTTAAATTTTAGTAGTTTGTATAATTTTCGTTCTCAAAAATACATTTCCTCTTTTTCTTAACACTAACTTGATTAAGTTTCTCATCCGCCAACTGATTAACATTCAGCGAGATCCGTTTGCACATCGGCTGGCTGGCTACCTGTGCCGCGCGGACGGGGGAAATCAAAGAAAATGGTTTTCAAACTAATCGGCTTTGTTTGGCTTTCGAAAAAAGTCGGGTTGCGACTCCATTCAGTCCCCAAAACCTTATAGCACTTGAGTTGAAGTGAGGTGGTTCGAGTTTCAGAAGGCATTATGACGGTGATTCGGTCGATTCGCTTTGTTTATTTTTGCACTTTGGCGGGGTAATTTGTTGCGCAAGCCGGCTGTCTTTTTAGCGTAATTAGCTCAAAAGAATTTTGACGCAAATTTTTTAAATTTTAATATTTTTCGAAGATACAGTGGTCTCTCTATATAGTGAACCATCTGTATAAGCAACTCTCCTTATAGTAAACAAGAAATTTGGTCCCGCCAAGTCAATTTGCACTAAAACGTCTCTCTATAAAGACAACACCCCGTATAGCAAACACGAAATGTCGGTCCCTTCAGGTTGCTTATATAGAGAGAGTACTGTAGTAGGGTCTAGGGGTAAGCCAGTTATAAGGTAATAGGGTGGGGTCGGCCTTTTTAAAAATTTTTTTTGTGAAAAGGATCTCCCCCACCCACCTATATTTACTAGGTTAAAAAAGACTCTTCTGTGTACTGTATCCATCAATATACCTCTTGTCAGCCTATTTTTACCAATCATTATCATAAGCCATGACTAGCCATACCTTTTAGCTTAAAAAACCTAAAAATATAAGCGCTTTGTATGTAAATGAATACACTTTAATCACTTGCATTTGCTTGCTCATTATCATACATAAATCACCCCTTTTACAAAATTTTACGTTTCTGTAAATCGTATGTTAATATACAAAATTTTGAAAAATATTTTTTGTTTTTCTTTCTTTGTCTGTTGAGAAAATTAAATTTGGAGTAAGGAAGTATCGTTTGTTCGGAAATATACTATATTGCTGGTCTAATTTAGTCTGTATTTTACCTTCGGATTACTTTAAATTTACTTTTAGATTATCTTACATTAATTTTTTGCTTACTTCCCATATAATGTATGTTTCTTATCTACAGGAAGCTTTACCGCTTACTTTTTGTGTAATCGCTTTGACCCCAATGGCATTCCAACTCTAATTCCGGCGTTTCTAAAAAGACAATCCAATAAAATTTGTTAATTCCGTCAAATTTTACGGCTTAACAAAAACTGGTGTTAAGAAGGGCACAATGGGTTTAATTGGTGTTTCATTAGGGATCACGGTTCAGACAGAACTGTCCATTAAAGCTGAACGGAAGCTCACTAGGCACGGTTCCAGACCGCGCATTGCCGGGCCAAAGCAAATTTTAAAGGTCTGGTCATCATAGCACTAAAATCAACATTTTAATCGCTTTTCAATGTTCTTACCTATTTTTTTCAACATCACGCGTCTACAAGTCTACATAACGGAGGTCATTCTGTTCCGTGGCCTGTGGTGACCCCCCCCCCCTCGCCCCTCGATTGCTCCACTTTTTGTCTAAACCAAGAAAAGAGTATCGCGACGTCTGAGGGGTTTCCATTCCTTTTATTATGGGAAATCGCTGTTTTCAGCCAAAAAACTGTCGGATTCCAATTGTAGCCTGAGGCATCGACGCTCCGCCGCGTCCAGCTGGGACTGCACATTGGGACAGTGGTTGGCCAATGTGTCCGACAAGATGAGCCGCTACATTCGAAACCAGATTCCGTACGGCGAGAATCACAATGAAGTGCTGATCGTGTTGGTGATGATAGCCATGGTGTTGGTATTGTTGTGTTTCCTGATCGTTTGCAACTGTTTGTTACATTGTAACTGTCCGAAATGGAAGAAGAAGAGAGAGGAGAAGGTACGATGTGATTGTGAAGAAGATTACTTCCAACATGTCAATAGGTTGCTGGCAAAACATCAGGAAATCGAAGAGAAACGCCGGTTGGAGTTGGAGAATTTGAAGGAAAATGAATGTGTAAGTAGTTTTAAAATCTAAGTAATTCACAATATCGTATTTTACACTAAAATCTCAAAAAATAACGTCAGAAAAAACAAATATCTTTTACTTACCACCACAATTTCAGCCAGAATCCTATCTCCCTCTACTGGCCCGCTCATTGCCAGGATCTCGAGCATCTTCGCCAGCACGTCGCCGAGTACGTCACAGCTCAACTAGCTCAGCTCCAGTGAAACGAGAACTCAAAGATGACCTAGAACAGTTTAAAGTAGATCATCGAGTACAAATCAAAGCTCCAACATCTCCAGTAAATGATACTGAACTTTCACCACGATCTGTCATTGTCAGAAGACCTTCGCCAGCTCTAAAGCATGTTAGCAAGGCCGTCTCGACATCTAGTTTCAACGATGCTCAAACACAAACTATGTAAGTTGATATTTGTCAAAAAAGGTAACAAAAACTAAGCTTTGAACATACAAAAAATTAATATTATTCATAACAATCGATTTAAAGCCATTTTTTAAGCCTAAAGCAATATTTTTTGCAATTTTTATAATTTAAAATTTGAAAAACAATGCAAAATAACTTACTTTATCCAAATTTAATTCCAGAGTACCATTAATTGTCCTAAAACGACCGCCGAAACGCATAGAAACCACCGTCTGATATTACACTGGACATTGTAATTGACTGCCACACTTTTCAACAACTTTCAACGGGTGTTTAGCTTTATTCGTAGCAAACTTTACGTATTACCTCATTAATATGCATAATAAATTAATATTCTTACATTAATCTTGACTTTTTAATCGTATTTTATCGTTTCATTAGCAAATCAATTTGGTTTCAACACGAAAACGTTTTCAAAGAAAATTTCCGAAATTGAATAAAATTTTTCGAAATTATCAAATTTTACATTATTTTTTAGCATTTTAAAGGTTTTTTTAATAAAAATAGAAGATGTCGGTGCACTTTGTACACTGTAACATCTGCGGAACGATGCCATCCACTAATACTTCATATTTCGTGGCTTCTTGTGGACATATCGCTTGTCACGCTTGTGTAGGAAAAGGTAAAATAATTTTAATCTTTGGAGAAATATCTATTTTAATATATTTTTACTTGTATTAGTTAGATTTGATTTTATTTGCATGAAAGAGCTGTTTTTACAGCTATTGCATCTATTATAATATCAGTTGTTGATTTTGCAACGTCTGAACGTTTTTTTATTAGTTGTTTGACGTAAAATATTTCAGGATTGATGAACATATGTTACCTCTGTAAAAAGAGTGGCAAAATCACACGGTTAACTTCAAACATGGACGAAAAGGTATGAATTTTTTGCTTTTTCATTGTTTTAGGTAATATTTTGTAAATTGGAGTGAAAGTTGGAGGTAAATAACCAAGAAATTTATTGTTTCAGGTCAAACGTTACTTCATGGACCCAACTTCAATGATTAATAAAATGATTTCCGATGCTACCAACACCTCAGCGAAGAAACGGCAACGTGATGCTCGAGTTGACATGGAGAATAAGGGTCTGATCAGCGAGGTGGAGAAGTTAAATGCCCAGCTGGCTCTGAAAACCACTGAATTAGAGAATATGAGAGCTAATTCGACTGTTTGTGACATTTCCATCGAATCTAAGCGGAATTCCTCAATGATTTTGCCTGAAACAACTCATAAAACACCTCAAAAACTGTCGGAAAGCTTCACATCAACTCCGCTCAAGGCTCCAGAACGATATGCAACTACACCGAAGAACACGGAACGTTTTGTAACAACACCCACGAATGGAGAACGATTCGCGACAACACCAAAGACTGGGGAAAGGTATTCAGACCTGGGATCGGTGAATCGAGCCTTGAAACGAGCACATTTTACACCGAAGAATGAAGGTACATTAGATGAAGTCAATCTGAGTACTCAGTCAGTTCGATCTAATCTCTCCAGGACTTCAGCCAACAGTTCAGGCGGGTCGGGCATTGATTTGAGATTTCCCAACAAAAAGAAGGTAAGGTTTTCTATATTGATTTAGCCAAACTAAGCGGTAATGTTGTTATTAGTGAACAGAAAACGATTTTACTGTGTTATATTGTTTTGAAATTAGGTAGGAATTGTTCTCATAGCCAATTTTTTAGACCAAGAAGACGTTAGCCCAGGTTTTGTCAGCAACTTCTATTGATAAACATGTATTCAACACTGGCTCAGCCATCAACAAGTCCACATAGCATCTTTCTTTTACGTTATCACTGCTTTTCATAACGTTCTTTACTGTATTATCTTAGTTATTATTGTTATCCTTCTTCTGTTTATAAAGTTATTGTTGTTGTTAAATTTAGGTATTAGTTTGACCAGGCAGAAGCTGTAATACACGTTAAGACAGAATACTTAATATTATTTATAGTTTAGAGCCAAGACAGGCTTGGGTTGGTCAATTTATACTGTTTTAGCCAGATTTTTAATCACATCACGCCGTTTGTGCATCAAGTTAGAGATATCACAGTTTATGAGGTAGGTATAGATTGAAACAAGATGTATTTTGATGTTTATTTGTTGATTTTTCGTCTGAGAGATCACGGATATTATCGTAGACGGGTTTAGGTTTGAAAGTAAGGAAAAACCGGGCGAACTTGAGGTTTCGTTTAATTAAAACCCTTTTGATGTTATCTACTACTTTAGAAACATTTTTCAAAAAAAATGGTTTTTTTAATTTTTCACTATGAAATAGCAAAAAAACGGCATATTATGGTAGCTTAGGGGACTATTCAGTCACACTTTTTAAAGATCACTCGCAGACAGTTTCTAACAATAACTCATCGCATATCTGATCCTAACGTACAGTTGATATACACCCTTGTACGACGACTTCGTCGCAGATCAATGTGGAGATATTTGAGGGAAGATGCCCCTCATCGACCGGAAACCTGTTCTCTCAATTAGCTAGTCTATTAAAACAATTAGCCGCTCATCTAGTCCGCTTCACCACGTGATGCTGGCGTACAACAAGCTTCTGGAGGCAGAAGATGGCGCAATCACCGAAGATATTGTATACTCGGGTAGCTTGGATAACAATGTTGTAGTAGATGGTCGGGAGGTGATGTTTGGAAGCCAAACGTTTGCTTGTAGTGTTGATAGTGTGTCTTCTAGAATTACAGAAGATTATAAGTGTTATAACGTGACTTCTGAATCCTCTACATCGTTTTCTTACAAAGATTCATCGTTTCTGTCGGACGATTCTGGTTTTCCTTCTAAAGATTCAGAATTCCCATCAGAAGATTCTGAAAATTCAGAAAACCCTATCACCTCCAAGCTGCCAACCATTCTTTTAATATCTACCATAGCTGTATTGGCAGTAAAACTTAACACTCTGTCTCATTCAGTCAAATATTTTGATTCAAAACAGATCCAACATGTTGTTGACGACATGAAGAATCATGAGTTGAAGACCAAAAACGATTGGACTGGCTACTGCATTGCCAATCCAGGAGCGTGCGCTCAGTTGTACATGCCTATGAATGAAGCTTTTGTCAGGAAAATTGTTGTAAGTGCAAAGGAGTAAGTGACTTCCTCCTCAGATGAAGGATAAGTGTGATTTGTCATAGTATTTTCGAAACGAATTACTATTTAAAGGCGTATGATATGATCAGTGATAGGTTATCTTATACTCGTTTGCAGATAGCCCGCGACTACAAGACGCTGAACTGTATTCTGCCAAAATGCATGAGTACTATCACTACCATGGTCTACTCGTACTTGACTGATCCTGTACGATACAAAAGATTCAAATGGAATAACAGTAGAGGAGTAAGGTAAATTACTACATTACTTTTGTTTCTACGTTCTTTATTCATCATTTGACTACATTTGACTTACTTTGGTATTGTACTATTATATATTGTTTGTTCAAATAATTCCGCGCCCTTTTCAATGCAAATTTCCATGACTAACGAAGCGCACAATTAGTTGAACAACATAATATTGCCCACTTTGTCAGACCAAAGGTTACTTATACTTTTGTTTTTCAAAAAAGCACCATAAAAGTGGTATGTTACCCAGTAAAAGACTGTAGTCTTATATTTTAGTGCGACCCATCATAAGAATGACTTTGACAGTTTACAAACCTTCCAACACAACGAACATGTCTCTGATAAAGACCTCGAAAAATGGAGTATGAATGTAGCTATTCGTGACCCGATGGACAGGTTCATTAGTGCTTGGTTGAACAAATGTGTAGAGTAAGCAGTGCTTTGTCAATATGCATATCGTTCCTTATTTCAGCTCGTTGTAGCTTTTTAACCATTCTTAGTACCTCTTGCCTTATCGTACTTTTAAAACATACTATTAAGTTGTTTAAATAATTTCGCGCCCCCTGTCAAAGCAAATTTCGTGATGGGGCACAGAATTATTTGAACAACCTAATATAATATAATCCTATGATGTCAACGGTCTTTGATACCAAATACTTCAGAGAACGCCTCCTTCTAAGCCGAGACAACATCCTCTACGGCGGTGGCGAGCTATGTTATGGCTGTGGCGAAGACTTTGAATGTTTCCTCCGAGCACAGTACAAACGTGCCATTTTGTACTCCAAGGGAGCCATGACTACAGTGTCTTACGAAGATCAACACACATTCCCTCAAAACTGGTTTTGCGATTTCAGAAACCATCTACATCGATATAACGTTATCAAACATACCACAGATTACGAAGGTAAAGCAGCTTTTTACACATGGATGAGGAACCTAATGGAGAGACAAAAGGTGCCAAAGGAGAAGATCAAGTTCGTCTTCAAACACATACTCACACCATTGGACGGAAGAAAGACCAAAGCCAAAGATAAGAAACATAACATGTTAAAGTACAAAGCGGACGAAGCAAGAGAGAGGTTGTTGAGTGATAAGGACATGTACAACATCTTCATGGCTATGTTTGTATACGATTACGTGTTGTTTGACTATGAAATTCCTAAAAGAACAAGTGATGAGCCGTAAAGTGTAAATTAGAAGCTTTAAATTGTAAAAAGGTCAATTCTGTGATATTATTTTAGGTCTTCCAGCTGTAATAGGTAACCTTTAAGGATATATAATATTATTGTTGTAATATATTGGTGCACATATAAACACGGGTATCTTCTACTAATTTCATTACTAATACCAGTGCTTTGATTCACATAAAACACCTTACGCTCAATTTGAGAAAACCGTTAAAATTCAACCACAAGGTGCACTTGTAGTATATTAACTCGAGTTTTGACAGATAATAAATGTGATTTCCTCCCAGCAGGTAATAAAATACCATTCCGCTTTTAAAATTTCTTATTCCGAGCGAGCTCTTGATTATAATCGCCATTCAAGACGGGCGAGGTAAATAAATTCCCTTTTTCAGGTATCTAGCTTCCAACTTTCGCGCACAAAATCGCATAATTTTAATTGATTTCGATTGTTTTTGAAAAATTTTAATGTAAAATTGAATATTCTACATTTCATATAGTGCTTTGTATCATTTTTTAATAGTTCTGACCAGTTTTAACATTAGAAAAGCCGTGTTCCTCAAGAAACCTCCCTTTTCCCACATTTTCATGAGTGCCAAAAAAAAGGTCCGTTAAAACAAGTTTACAGCCATTTGTCACATAAATCTCTTGGCAAACGTTGCGGCATCGGTTCCCGACCCGATTCGACCTCCAACGAGTCGAGAGTTTGTCTTTGGGGTGAATCATAACAAAATTTTGTTTCCACAAAGTCGAGAGCGAGACTTGACGCCGTTTTGCGATTTGCGTCAAGTTTGGCGCGCATTTCCAAAACAATTTTGTAGCGATCTTTTTGTAGACGGCATATGACTCGTCCTCTTCCGCCCGTGTCCGAAATGGATGCTGATCCTGAATTGCGGGATATTCAGGCACGAGTACGAACAGAAATACTACATCGACATTTGGCACCCTATATTAACTCGGTATGTTGTGATTTTTGGGTATAATTATTGTTTTATGTTTAGATTTTGCAATTAAAACGAGACTTTAAACCGAATGGACCAACTGATGTGAGTGCAAAGACTTTGCTTCAAATTGTACACGATAAAACAATGTTTTTGCTCAAACATTCAGATCAGTTGATCAAGGAGAAGGCAAAACATATCACTGAAGAATCAGTTCAACAGCTCGATGTTGCTTTACAAGGTGTTCAAAACACTGGTGAGTATTTATAAATGGCTTTTTTAGTTTTGGGTTGAGTATGCCATTAATAAGGAGCTGGGTAAAATGTAAACTTTTTACTGTTGCTATCTAAAATAATGCCTAATTTTAGCAAATGATGTGTTGACTGTCGGCCAAGTGTTTGCCGAGAATACTAGTGAAACAGAGAGTAGATACAAGTTGATTGGTGCTGCTGAACTGTTTATCAAAGCCTTGGCTGAGCTTTTGTTAGCAGCAGATCTTGTTGAAGTTAACAATGTTAAAGAACGAGTCAATATTGTAAGTTATTTTATAATTTTGTTGAGTTTTAGATATGAATCATAATGCTGATGAACTTTTCGAAAGTTTTGTTTAATAGTTTAAACAATGCTTAGATACTTGTTACCTAAATTTATTTTTTTGCTTTTGCTTCTATAAGCATGGTTTTTGGATGTAATTTTGAATTATGATTGAAATTATAACGCTTTTTTTAAATGTTATTCCAGGTATTCCGACGTCTTGAGAATGCTCAAAAAGCTCCAACAAAAGAAACTTTTATTCAAACTACAAAGAAATTGGAAGTTGATATTGACGATTTGATTGAAGTAACTCGACGAAGACTCGAGAAGTCTAGGACTCCAGATGATCGTGATAATCTACAAGCTGCTTTACATCTGGTTAAGAGAAGTGTGCCAATTATGGTCACATCTACATTGGCTTCGTTTAGCAACAAGAATTCGGCTGAAGTGGAAGAAAACAAAAAGTTTGCTTTTGGGAATGTTCACTCTGGTCTTGAAGGTATTGTAGCGGTTTTGAATGGTCAACAACCGAATAGAAGAGTTGGGCTGAGCTTGGGGGCTAATCTGGACAAACTTATTAATGGATTGGAGAAGTTTAGAGTAGGTTTTTGGAGGTTTTATTAATATTTTTGTTGTGTTAGATTTTGTGATAGATCTAAAGCTTTGATTTTTTTTTTTGATTTTATAAATTTGATAAAAAAATATTATAGTATGAGAATTTACATAACTCTTGTGTCTTTTTACAGGCCAGTGTCTGCATTGACCCAAGTCAGTACCGAAAACATGAACATCGTACAAAACTGGAAGAATTACTTGAACGTATAGTAGTGATGTTGGCAGATGTAGCTGATCAACCTTTGACAAGTTCGAAACGTCGTCAAGAGATTGTTCAAGGAGCTAATAACCTTCGACAAGCTCTACAAGACTTACTGACAGAATATGAACGTTATCAACCGAATGGCAGAACAGAAGATTTGGATATGGCATCAGTACATCTTGATCACAACCTCAAGAACCTGCGAAGACATTTGAGACGAGCTATTGTTGACCAGGTCTCTAATACCTTTAGTGTACTAGATACACCACTTGAGTTACTGGTTAAGAGTGCTTTAGAAGGTCAAAGGCAGGAGACCATTAAGAATGCTGACATTTTCAAATCTTATTCAGAAGACATGGCAAGAGTAGCCGAGCTAGTATGTAAAATGTCACCCGATCCAGAAGGCGTGGGTATGTTAAAGTACTCAGCTTTCTTGCTACAAGATGTCACGCCACAGGTTGTGAATGCTGCTGTTTTGGTGTCTTTGAAGCCCAATAGAAGCAACGACGATCCAGCTGTTCAGAATCTTCATCAGTTTAAGGAATTGTGGAGGGAGAGAGCGAAAGCCTTGAAGATAGCTATGGACTCGCTAATTGCCATGGATGATATGGTGGCAGTTACGGAACAGCACATTATTGATGACTTGGGTAATGGATTCACGGTAGGTTTATAGTAATTGGCTTTTTTGGGATTTGAGGAATTGAATTTTAGGATTTTAAACCCTTTTTTAGAAATTGTTTGTGCCAGCCAGCTGTGTATTTTTAAACTTTTTATGAGGTTGCAGAATTGACGGACGCTATTTTTGCTTTGTATGCTATTTAAAATGGTAAATTTCAGGCGATTGAAACGGCCGACGCACAGTTATTGGACATCGCCGTAGGCACGATACGTGGACGCTGCGTCAGGTTGACAGATATGGTGGATTCAGCGTTGGAAGAACTGCCGATGGTACCTCATTCTTACACCGAAGCTTTGAAAAAAGCGTCGATACACTTGAAGAACGGTACGTTTTTTATTTTTTTACATCATTTCTTTTTTTACTGAGCGTTATAAAAGTAGGATATTAAGTTCGATATCAACTTCTAAATAATTTAGTTTATTATAATAAAGAAAGGAGTTATAAGGTGAAAATAGTCAAGAGGGACCTTTTTATACGGATTATAAGAAGATTTTCGCTTTTTAGTTTTGCCGACCTTCGAAGACAAGGCTGGCAATCTGATACATCGAGTGGACCAATTGGACCCAAGCAACGACGAAGAGAAGAACTCTTGTTATGAAGAGCTAACACAATGTGTGGACCTGGTTCATGGAGCTGTGGTCAACATCAGACATGCTCTTCTCATGAACAGGAATCTAGAAGATGTGGATTCGGATAATGAGTATGATGAAGGTAAGAGCTGAAAGTTTTGTTTTTAAGATTATATTTGTGAAGAATTGGTGAAAACATTCATTAGAATTTGAGCTTTTCAGGTAATATATTTATAATAATATTAAAAATTACTTTCAGATGGTGGAACAACCGCTGTTGGAGACCAAAGAAGCCAGGTATCAGATGGAGATGCCGACAATCAACAAAGAATCATGCGACATTTGCCAGAGGAAACGAAACGAGAAATCAAAAAACATTTGTCTATCTACAAGGTGGTACAACAGAACTTGGTATACGAAGTCTCGAAGTGGGATGAGGAAAGCAATGACCTCATTTTGTTAGCGAAACAAATGATCAAAATCATGAATGACATGACTGACTTTACTAATGGCCGAGGACCCTTCAGAACCACGATGGATGTCATCAATGCGGCCAAGGAGATCTCGGAGAAGGGCAAAGAGTTGGAGAAGATTGCCAGAAGTATTGGGGACGAGTCAGTGGAGAGTCAAACGAAACAGGACTTGTTTAGTTATATTGAGAAGAGCATTCTGTTTTGTCATCAATTGAGCTTGACTAGTCGGGTAGGTTAATGTTGAGGGTTTGGGGTTAAATGGAGTTTATTTTAAGCTTAAATTGAGTTTTTTTAAAAGAATTTTGGCTATTTGTGTCATTTTGTTTAATATTATACTAGGTTTTGATAGATCAATGCTTTTTTTAATCGGTTGTTCTTAAAATTTACAAAACCTCAATTTAGGTGAAAGCCGAGATCAAAATGGTCGAAAACGAAGCTCAAGTCAGTGGAATGGACTCGGTCTATTCCCTGATTCAAAACGCCAAAAACGTACTAGGAGCCGTACTGTCGATAGTAAAGCTCGCCTTCATTGCCAGTACTAAATACAGAAAGAAGGCCAACAACCAAAGTCAAATCAAAATGGAATGGAGAAGTGCCCGACCTCAAGCCTCCGCCTTCTCGGCCGAAGCCGTGCAACAGTCACGGCAAGCACAGATTGTCAGAAGACGATCGGACAGAAGATCACTGGCACCACTACGTCAGGTTGGAGGGGCTAGGATTTATTAAGGGGTGGTTTTGGATTTTTTAAAATTTTCTACTCCTTCACGTTGAAAGACACTATTTTAAAAATTTGATTTTTATTAGGTTGTTCAAAAAATTCTGCGCTCCTAACCTTGAAAATTTGCTTTGTCAGCGGGCACAGAATTATTTGAACAATTCAAGTTTTAAAATTGATTTTTTTATTTTTTGGATACCTAACGCAAGCTTTGTAATTTTACAGTATTTTTTATACAAAATTTATGCCAAAGAACAAATATACTACTATCTTGACTTACTATTACCTTTTCTATGCAACTTTTGGTAAACTGACTTTTTATCGTTTTTGTGCCAAAATTTAAAAAATATTACCTAAAAATTAAAAAAAAACGTCACAAAGTCAAATTCACAACTTGAATCTTGTTTATTCTATTAGATTGTTCAAATAATTCTGTGCCCCTTTTCAAAGCAAATTTTTAGGGTTTTGGAAATATAATAGAATTATTTGAAAAACCTAATAGTAAACGTTTATTGTACTTGGTCTCCAACATGACCTTTCTCAAAACCTGGTCAGTAACGTGACCTTTCTCATCAACTTGGTCAGTAACATGACTCAGAAGTGCCTATTGTATACTACTGCATTTACAACGATTTTAACTTATTTTGTCATAACATATAGATATCGAACGTTGCTTATCAGGCATTTACAACTACCATAGCTATGCATTGTAAAACCACCTCAGTCTTTACAAACTTATTTATTTTTACAATTTTTTAATTTAAAACTTTGCTTACTCTTTTATAACTTATTGCGTTAATAATATTATAATAAATTTATTTTATAAAAAGCCAAGGACGTTGTTTCAATGGTAAATGCACTTTTTTTATTTTTAAAATTTTGAAGGAACGTTACAGCTACGTTTATATCAATGTAGCAACAAATTTGAACACATCTTTAGCCATCAATAAAGGCTCTTCAAAGGCAGCAAAGTGACCAACGTCAGGTAATATCGTGTAGTGTTTGATATTGGCTACTTTCGCTGCTAATTCCTTGGGCAAAGCAGGTATAGGGTCGTTGAGACAAGCCGCGTAGCCAGTTGGTACTGTTATGTATTCTCTGGAAAAAACATTTATAGGTTTTGACAGTTAATTACTATGACATATACTATCTATATTAATCTATTTTCAAACCTTTTATGTCATACTATCTATATTAATCTATTTTCAAACCTTTTATGTCAAAAAAAAGTTTTGTCGTCAATTTTGCTTATCTTCTAACCTTAAAACGACAAGACTTTTTGACATTTTAGTAAAACATAGTCAAAAGTATGGGTTTTGTGAATGAGTACCTAAGAACTTTTGATTACTATACATAATAGGGATAGGGCCTAGTAGTCAAGATATCTACTCGACCCAGCCAGCAGCATATTTAATTGGAGCCGGACTGAAACATTAGGCCTAGACCCTTTACAGCTTTATGGATTACTCACTTGGTAAGAGCTTTGGTTTCAGGAGAAGCGGCCATTTCCTTGTAGTACCTCGAAGTCGAGACTCCAGTACCGTTGACCCAGTAGATCATCAGATTCGTTATGAGATCGTGCATCTTGTACTTCTTTTCCAAATTACCATCTGCACTCTTTTGCCATTCTAAATTGGTACCTCCAACGAATTTTTCCAATATCCAGGCCATCAGGGCTAATGGGGAGTCGTTCAGGGCAATACCTATATATAAGAATATGGTTCAATAAAGGTTTTTTTGAGTAGGATGTGGGGAGTGTGGGGTAAAGTTTGATGAAAGGAGAGTGTTTTATAGGGAAAAAGGGACAATAAACTCACCAATAGTATCAGGGGTGTTACTCTGTAACAAAAAGTAGCCGCCACTCTTGAAGAACAACGTTATCATGTTCTTAATGGTATATTTATGGAATTCAGAATCCGAAAAGTTGAGTTGAGGTGCAATAGTACCCAAAATGGCTTTGAAGAAGAAGGATTTGCTTGTTGATGTTAACATATTCAAATGACAGCCGATCACACGCTCTGGGAAGATACGAGACAGTAGACCGACTATAGTCGATGCCCAGTCTCCACCTTGAACAAAGTAGCGATTGTACTCTAGTCTTTGCATCAAAGTGTTGTAGATACGAGCTGTTGCTATTTGGGTGCATCCTGAAAGGGTTTAGTATAATATAATGATGCGTTTTTGCCAGAATGCGGGGGGGGAGGTTATACTTAGACCTGAAAAGAAGCCGAATTAAATTTGAGGAGTCCAGGCTAAAAAATTATACCTGGCTCTTTTACAGGTCTATTTATACCTGTTAACATATATGGCTTACGATAAAAACAGAAGGATATTTTCACCGTATTTTACCTTTCTTCGAAGCCGCATCCGAGAACCCATAGCCAGGAATGCTGGGACAAACCACATCAAAAGCAATGTCCGTTTCAATGCCATACTGTTTTGGATCATTCAAAATGGGTATCATGCTATGAAACTCATAAATACTTCCAGGCCAACCATGTGCTGCCAGTATTGGCACCACTCTGTCATATTTGCCTGGCGTCGGCTTCGAATGAATGAAATGAATCTTCAGACCTTCAATTTCAGTTTTGAAATGAGGAAACTGGTTCAGCTCCTTCTCTGCCGCTCTCCAGTCGTACTCATCTCTTCAGTACGTCAAGTATTTGTTCAAGATCGTGAGGTTGAATCCGTAGTCGAAATCGTTACATTCTTCGATCTTGGAATGAGTAATACGAGCGTTTCGAAGACGTTCCTTTAGGTCGTTGAGTACTGTGCTACTAATGTCGATTTTGAAGGGGTGGATGGTAAGGTCATCAGGATGGTAGTCACCTGGACCAAAGTAGGCTGGGGTGCGGTGCTAAAAATGGGTTTTAGATTTTAAAAATTATTCTTAGAGATTTCAAAAATAGCTAAAAATTTTTAAAAAGTGATTTTCACTTTCACTTTTATTTTATTTTTTAAAATTTTCTTTCAAAAGCTAACACATTTAACAAAAAATAGTTTTTTTTTAAATCTTGTTGCCCCTCCACCCTTCAAAAAAATTTTTTGGGTTTCTTTTCTCTTATATTATGGCTAAGCGAACATTGAAAAACAAAAAAAAAGGTTTTAAAAAACCAAAAAGGCTTTAAAAAGCCAAAATGTTACCTTTCCATTAGCCATAGCCAAAACTTTTCGCTCCAAAACACTTGAAACTTGAAAGAATAAAAAAGCGTTTCTTTTTATATCAGTCAGAAAGCAACGTTTTTGCTCCAAACGTTGTAACTAAAGTGCAGTTCAAAAAGTGTATTTTCAGTAAACAAAGAGTAATCTCTCTGATTCCCTCTCATTAGATAACGATTGGAGGTTGTGATTGAGGGAGATTGTGAGGGTAGGGGGCTACAAAACACATTTTTGAGTTTGACGTTTATTTTTTTACAGAAATTGCAAAAATTAAAAAATGAAAAATATGAAAACGGTGGAAAAATTGTACTGTAAGGTGCCTAGTTTATCGGCCCACTTTTTTTAAAGATTCCTTCGAACCGGCCTGGCTTTTATAAAAATTGAAACTACATCTGCGACAATTTGTATCGTACTGCTACTGTGCTCTAAATAAACAGTAGTTTAACAACATTTTTCTTTAAAATCAGATACTTTTTACGTTTTTTGCAAATTAAATATTTTGTTTCTAGACCAAGTCTTGTGGCGTCGACTAAGCCGTCCGTGCTGGTCCGGCACGTCCTTTTTCAAACTTGCTTTGAAGCCGAGATTATTACCTTGTTTTAGGTCTAATAGCGAGTAATTTTGATCTAGAAGGTCAGGCAGTTTAAACATTTTTTTTTGGCCTAAGCCTGTGTGCACAAAAAATTTTTCGGGTTGTGGGATTTTTTTAAATTTTTTAATGCTTTTTTTTATGAGAATTATAAAAACTTTTATCTGGATTAGCATAGCAAAATAATTTACCTGCGCCTCTTTTCAATCGTTTTCGGTATGCTTCTTTTTTGTAAAATGTAAACCAAATTCTTTTCTTATGGCTTTTTTCTGTTTCCTCCTACATTCTTGGTTTAATTGTAATCAATTCTCTCTCTCTTTTGATAAGAATAATTTTGTGTTACAATCAGTTAAGTTTTCGAGGTTGAAACAGTTGAACTTGATTTTATATTGACGTAGAAATGAGGCGATACAAAACACAACATTTATATGTATTTCGGGAACAAAATTTGACAATTTAGAAACGTTGACGTTTGTTTATGTTGTTTTTAAATTAAAAAAATGTGATAATATAGTATTACAAAACCATTTTTTATTTTTTAAACTACTCAAGACTTAAAATGTTCGCAATTTTCAATTTTGATGTTATGCTTTTAAATTTCATATAAACGAAACAGAACAGCTTTTTTTAATTAAAAAGTTTATATTTAAAGATTAAAAACAACTTCAATTTTTAATAAAACAATTTGTAATATATCATTTTACTCTGTGTGTAAACATGAACTTACTACCGATAATGTTTTGCTTGTTCTTAGCTTCTTGTGCCTATAGGAAAAAGCCCCCGTTAGAAAGATTTGACTGCAACTGCACCTATCCTTCTGATTGTTTCCTATGCTCAAACAGGCCTAAACATTTTTATTAATTTCCATTATATCTTTGTATTGATCATTACTGCCATTATTATGTTAAAGAAAATAGCACTACTGTGGCTCCAACTACATTGTAATGCATTTTCTATCTACTATCTCACACTCGTTAATTTTAAATTTGAAAACCAAAATTTGCATTACAATAAGCTCTGAATCAACACACACTTCTATATAAAACCTTACAAAACTGTAGATCTTTAGTACGTTCGTTGTAATAAATTATGAGACTATTTTTTGTCTTGTGTTGTCTGTTCTGTGTGGCATTTGCCATTAGAATGGACGGTTCTTTTCCTACAAACTGTGCGTGTAGCGCAGTAGAAGATTGTCAGACATGTCCAGAGTCAACAGATGGAACAACAGAGGTTACGTATCAATGTGTTCTTGGCCACTGTTGGTACAGTGTGAAGAAGTTCTATGATAGTTGATAATTGTAAATATAAATTTATAACTTTGTTTTATGGTACTTACTATGAACTTTATCGTAATTTGTATCTTTAAAAAGATTTGAATTGTAACACATTTGAATAATTTATATAAGAAATAAAAGCAAGAGTTAAATAAAGGTAACTGTAGGAGTATAATATTATAGTTGAGTGAACTTTTAGCTTTTTAAAAAACTTTTTAATCAAGCCATATGAAGTTTTGGTTATATTGTTTTTATAAATAACAACTAAATTTGTAAAAGGGCTAGATCAGGAACTACCGGCACGGACTGGCCTGGCCCGGCTTGTCTTGTTTTAGTTTTTTCTCCGGCCCATCAACTGAATTTGCTTCAGCCTGGCTTGGCCTTTTATAAAAAGTGCCCACATTACAAAGAAAAAAAAATTTTTGGTTGTCTTATTCTGCTAGGTCGAAATAAATCGCTATTACAATGTTAGACATGTAAACGAGTCGGCCAAGACCTCAGTTTAGGACTCGGACTTTTAATATTTTACACTTTTTGCAACTCAAATCTTTTGTTGCGAGACCTAAACTGAGCTCCTTGGGCTTTCATTTAGGCTCGGCCTTCGAGGCTACGTGTGTGCGCCCGGCTCTTTTATAATTTGCTTCTGATTGGCCTGGCCTATTGGGTTCTTTCTACAAAAATATTTTACTTGTATAGTAAAATTATATTCTGTATTATAAGTACAGTGGAACCCTTTTATAACGAATCGCTCGAAGACACTGTGTAGTGGTAGACGGGGATACAAAAGTTGTTCGTTGTACGGGATTTTTGTTATAGAGGAGTTTGTTATACAGGAGTTTTTCTGTACAATACTGTTAAAAAAGGTTTTGCAAAACTCATTAAGCTTTTGTTTTTTCAGTTGTACATATTAACTTTTTCATTTTTTAATTGACCATTTTTAATAAAATTTTTTAAATGTTAATCTATGCATACAATAAAATTTTTTCTCAAACCAATAAAACATTTAATATGTTTACTACAGTAATATATATAATTAAATATATTTACTAAGCTATATAAGCAAACATAAAAATGATGTTATCAGTGTATTGATCTGTAACAGCCATGAAACTAGTTGCTATTTTGTTCTGTCTTTTTTTGATTTCTCATGCTCATAGATATGACATAAGTTACTACACAACAAAGTGTATATGCGACACAAGAAAGGATTGTCTTGCATGTCCATATATACAGGAATTACTGAAACATAAAGATCATATTGTGTTCGAGTGCCGTGCCAGAACTTGTATGTATGGGACAGTACCTCAAAAATGAAGATCATGCCACTATATTTTTTGATTGTAAAATAAAGTTTTGATTTATAATAATGTTATAAATCTTATATTTTAGTTTAATTTTTTTGTGTTAAGTCTATGTAAAAGGTAAAAGCAATTATGAAAAACATTTTATTGTGCCGATACTTCTGACGCTTCTGTCAAGACCTACAGTAATACTAGCTGATCATTTGTACTAAAGAAAAGCTTCTTCAATAGCAATAGTCAATAAAACAGTCTTTCTTGAGTATGATGCTAATAAAAAAAGTATTCAAAAAATTTTAAGAACATTGCCTCAAGCTGCTATAGCTTTAAAATTTCCTGTATAACAAACTCCTCGTTGTTACAGGGGAGTTTGTTATACAGAACTTCCACAGTAGTTTGTTTAGTAAAATAATGTTATGTGAAAGCTTTGAATATAAAATTTTAAATTTTTAAGCAGTTTTTTAAATTAAAAAATTTTTTTAATTTGCTTGTTCACAATGTAACTCTTTCTCAAGTCAATTAAATTTTTAATACGCTACATCAATATAAAAGAAAACATAATTTTGAAAATTTTAGTGTGTTAATTTGTAACTAACGATGAGATTACTCGTTATTTTGCTCTGTTTCTTTGTCGTTTCTCATGCCATTAAAAGAGACGTCTGGACCTACCGCATTGCAAATTGCAGCTGCACTGACAGCGAAGATTGCATCTCATATAAAGGAAAGAATAGAAAAAGAACTATATGTTGATTACCTTTGTTTTCGTGGTGAAGGTTGTATTTATACTGACCACAAACAATAAACATCTTAATCATTAAAAGCTTAGCTACTAAGCATCTTAATCTGTTTTGTATGCTTACTAATGCTTTGATCATTATTTTTATTGTAGCCTGGTAGCAAAAGTGTCAAATAAAGTACGAGCATTGAGTTTGGAGATTACTTATATTCAAATTTAGAGTTTTCCAATAGCACAAAAAACCTTTATTTTTCAGCAATTTCGTATATCGAGGTTTTTTGTGGTTATCGGCCATAATCGAAATATGTTCACTGTATAAAATATAGCAAACAAACATTTAAATTATTGTTACTCGACGAGTAATGGAGCTACAATAAAATTCGTTACAGATTCTGAAAGCCCATAAAAAATGACATCGTGTGTTGTTTTTAAAGCGCTAATTTATAACGGCACTTTTTAGGGCACTCGACCGTATATTCACCCTATATAATATACCAAGAAAATTGTCAACTTACTGTAACTCAAAGAGTAATGCAGCTTCAATAACAGCTGATATAGATTCTAAAAGCCCTTGAGAAATGGCATCTTATATGGACTTATACTTCAAATTTTTTTCTCAGTGAAAATCAAAAATGGCGCAGAAAAGTACAAAACCCTGCGCCATTTGGAAAAAATATCGTTTGAAAGAGAGAGATTCTTTTCTCTAGTGTCTCTCGTTTTATTGTGCTCTTGTCAAAATGGCGCAGAATTTTGTATTTTCCTGCGCCATTTTTTGGTTTTCACTGAAAAAAAAAATTGAAGTTTAAGTCCCCAGCCACTTATGTTGGTTTTTGAGCGCTAAATTATAACGAGATTTTTTGTGGTACTCGATCGTATATTCACCATGTATAAGACAGCAAAAAAAATATTTATATTGATGTAACTCAACGAGTAATGGACCTACAATAACAGTTGATACAGATCCTGAAAGTTCTTGAAAAATGACATCTTATTTTAGGTTTAAAACCCTTTAGTATTGAAGGCTGATGAGAAGAATTGGTTATAATCTTTGATTCCTTTGTATTCTGAACTGGTTTTGCTATATTCATTCTATATAATATATTGTATATTCACTTTATATAATACAGCAAGAAAATATTTAAATTATTGTAACTCGACGAGTAATGGAGCTACAATAGCAGTCGATACGTTGCTGAGGATCTAATATTTACATTATCTTTGTATACAGGGTGCGTAAAAAGTGGTGTTACCAAACTTTACCGGTCGTTTTCTCTATGTTGCGGTTAAATTATTTAAAATTTTTTATTTTGTCTTATTCTCCGTGGTTTTTTAATTGTATAACCATAAAAGTTAAGTCTTCATTGTCTACCGTCTGTCTGTATTTAGATGTCAAACATGAGGGCTACCGCCATCAAATTAAATAATGAAGGAAAAAGTAACCCCAAAATCGCGAAATTGTTGAATATTTCAAGAATGACAGTCCACAGAGCCGTAAAACGTTTCGAAGAGCTTAGACATGACTGTGACAGACCTAGAAGTGGGCGTCCAGCATCTGTTAACACCGTGGCCAATCGTCAGATGATCAAGAAGCGCTTCAAGCGAAATCCACGGACCCCAGTACGAAAAATGGCCTGGGAGACGTTAATCAAAGAATCTACTTTGAAACGCATAGTGGAAAAGAAACTTAAGATGAAGCCGTACAAACTCAAAAAAGTTCAGAAGCTAACTGAAGAAAACAAGGCGGTACGTTTCGAAAGATGTAAACTGCTTCAGCAGCGGGCCGCTGGTCAAAAATGAGAATGAATTCTTTTCAATGATGAGAAGATATTTACGTTGTACAGAGGCCTAAAATCCCCAAAATGACAGATAATACTTAGCAGACCCTCCTAAAGCTGAAGCCATCGTGGCAAGTCGTCAACACCCTCGGGGCATTATGGTTTGGGCCGGTATCTGTGCTTCAGGCAAGATTTTTTTGATTTTTTTCGATGAAGGCGTGAAGATCAACAAAGAAGTGTATCAAAGGAACATTTTGGTAGCTGGGGTACTCCCTTGGGCCCGGAAGCTTCAAAGGTGCCGCATGGATCATTCAGCAAGAGTCTGCACCGGCCCATAAAGCAAAATCAACAAAAGAGTGGTGTCGAACCCATTTCCTTGACTTCATTACATCTACTGAATGGCCTCCATATTCTCCCGATCTCAATTCTATGGATTACAGTGTGTGGTCGATATTGAAGGCTAGGGTGTGTTGTAGAAGACACCAAACTTTGGAGTCTTTGAAACAAGCATTGATCGAAGAGTGGGACAAACTGTCACCGGAGGTACTGCGGCCCACCGCTGAAAACTGTTTGAAGCGTTTGCGCTTGTGCCAAGCCGCAAAGGGGGGACACATTGAAACCGATTGACTATGTTATAACTAGTATTAATACTACATGTTACTATTGTTAGTTGTTGTTTTAGTTATATTTGTTGTTAAAGTAAATATTTGATTAAAAAACCTGGTAACACCACTTTTCACGCACCCTGTATAAAAAGTTTGAAGTCAATCAAAGCAATGCACGTCGAGCACTTTCTTTGTAAATAAAAAAAAACATTAAAATTAGCTTATGAATTTTGATTAAAAAACTGAAATTGCTTTTTCAAATTCACTTAAAATTGTGAAAATTAGTAGCCATGAAATTGCTTTATTTATTATTGTTGTGCATATCTGTGATTTTGATTGGTATTGCTAATATGATTCTAATTGCTGGTACAGCAGCAAAACAACATGACACTTTTTGTCCTTGTGACAAAGTTGAAGATTGTGAACGCAATTGCTTTGAGCCAATATGTTCAGGACCTGATTTATGTGCTAGATACGAATGTGGTGAGGACAAGCTGTGCCTATTTGAATATGATGATTCTAATTTAAAATTTCAATTTTTAATGTGTTTCCCATGCCTTTTATGAAGAATTTTGGTTTTAAAAAATTAAAATTTATAAAATGTGTATATAAACCTTGCCTCCAAGCTCAATGTAATAGATATTTTGTTTTAACTATGAAGTTGCTAGCCATCTTTTTCTGTTTGTTCTTGGTTTCGTTTGCCATAAAACAACCTGATGATCTGCCTGATTGTAATTGTATGAACTATTACGACTGTGGTAATTGTACTGATGGACATATATTATCCGATCTTCACTGTGTTGACAACAAGTGCATCTTTATTAAGTAACAAGGAAGTGACAAGTTTTAAACCATGCTTTGATACCTTTATGTTGCTTTGTATGAAATGATAATATAAAGAAATTACATATAAACTAAATTTATGCCACAATATAAACAATAACTACGGTTGGGAGATCGTATTCTAGAGATCACGGTTTTTTAACAGATCAGAGTCTTCGGAACTGTTGAATCCACTACTGGTTAGCAAGTCGTTATCATCAGCCAAAACAAACTTTTCTGTCACTGGAGAGGCTTTATCAGTAATTTCGGGCTTAGTTGAGCCGTCTTTATATTGTAGTAGATCCAGGTCTTCAGTCACTTGAGAAGCTGGCTTTATCACTGATTGAGTTGTGGTTGGTTTTGGGACTAAAGTGATGTTATTATAAGCTTTTGATTATCAAGGAAAATTTTTTAAAAGTGACATTATTGAATATTGTTCATTCTTGTTAAGCCATCTTTATATTGTAGTAGATCACTGGTAAAGAGACAAAATCACCTGCCAAATTTTGATTTTTAAAAAACCTTACCATCCCTATATCCACCATTATGATCCTTCTGTATGTTATGAATAATGGGCTTGTATATCTCATCTGGTGCTCTTAGTCCCCACAAAAAGTCATTGTGATTAAAGTCTGGTAACTTATTGACTTGTGCCACAGTTTCTTTTGGTAAACGACGTAGAAGGTATTCTTCTACATCTTTTTCCGTAGCCAACCAGTCACTAGCACTGTAGTATAAGTAAATCGGTACTCCGCGGATTTTACGCAAGTCGTACTCGATTGGTACTACCTGTAAATGTGAAACAGTAAGATATAGTGTTACACTGAAGTAAGGTACCGTTAAGTTAAAAAAACTACAGTAAGACTCGTATGAAGTAAAGTTAAAGAAAGTAGTAAATTATATAATAACTTAAGTAAAAAACCAGTCTTACCATGCCATAATGTTTCATATTTTCATCCATACCATAGTCATAAGCTAGTAAACTTTTATGCCGTACCATTTGGCAGTAATGTAAAATATTTCGTATTGATGTCCCAGCCGGATTATGAGCTAGGTATATACCTATTCTAGTCTTAAACAGAAACTTTAGAAAATATAATATACGTTTATATTATGTTCTCACTACAGAGAGTACTTTAGTCATGATTTAGTTACTATAAGCAGTAATTTAGGTACTATATATTGTACCTTAAAATTTTTATATAGCTTTTTATGTACTACAGAGGTTACTTTATTAGAAATGATCTTTACCTTGTTCAACTGTTGACTATCTGGACCGCTGACCAAAAACAAAAAGTTCTCGCAGAGCGGGTTTGAAGTGGCTAATCCACAAACAAATTCAGTCAGCCAGCGAGAGAGGAACGTGTTGGGCAGGAACTCCTGATCTCCAAACAAAGCCGTGAACAGCTAAAAAGTAAAAATATAAAAACGTATAAATATACGGTAGAAGTCCTGTATAACGAATTACTCGAAAAAGTTTAATGTTTTTGGCTATGTGCAAAGTTTTTGATATAGAGGAGTTTGTTATACAGGGGTTTCACAGTAGTTATCGTTCAAATAATTCTGTGCCCTCTAAAAAAATTTTAAAAGTTGCTTTAAAAGGGGCACAGAGCTATTTGAACAACATTTATTATAGTAAAGAAAACAAACTCACAGCTAATTGTTCATAAGATCGTTCACCAAGATACCTAAACAAGCCTTTGACATAGCGAATTGTACCAACTGGTGCTATCGCAAAGAACTTTTTAATCTGAAAATATATCGTTAAACCCAAGGAATTTAACTTGCAACCACTGCTACTTCAAACATTATAATAGCTACTACCTTCATACTAAAGGTAATAGCTACCTATAACAACTCTTACCTTCCTCCCAAACCCATCATTGAAGCTAAGCTTGCTGAACATTGTCAACGTTCCTTGTGAATGCCCCATGTAGTACAAGCTCGGTTGTTTCGTCTCATTTAAAGCGTAATCAACCATCGCTTCCAAATCGTATTTTGCCATTTCGGCCCAACTAAAGTGCCAATACTCATCAGTAGGGATGTTTTTCTTCTGATGTCCTCTTGAATACGAATTACCTCTCATATTACCCAGCCAAACATCAAAGCCAGCATCAGCGAACATCATTCCAGCCGATTGGTGAGGAAGATTCATTAGCCATACTGATGAAGTGCAGAGAAGGCCGTGCTGTAGAAAGACGACTGGCTTGTTTGGGTCGTGAATTTGTTCTGAAAAGTAGAAGGTATTTTAACGTACTAGTCTGTTGAGTTGGTTTACGAAAAAAATACTTTATTGATAAGAAATATGAAAAAGTGAAAAAGAAACTGCTAAAATTAGAAAACGAAATGTCAAAATCAATAAATGAAGTGTCAAAACAAATAAATCAAAATTCAGAGTGAAAAAAACTGAAAAATAATTTAAAATTTAGAACTTTTTTACCATTTTTTCCATGTGGTATCCTGTGTAGCTCCAGTATATAGCCATCTTTCGTAGTAACTCTGTGTGTCTCTACTGGGTATCCCCAATGTCTGATTATTTGAGGCTAAAATACTAGTTTATATGTTTATGTATAGTCTTATGGTTTTACAAATAGTATAAAAGTTTACATATTATGTTATTTTAAATATTTAACGTAATTTTAAGAAGAATATAGAAATATATCAGGTTGTCCAAACATGGATCAAAAAAACAAATTTTTTTGAAAATTACAGAAAAGGCTCATTTATATATGAACAACATAATATAGCAGAGTCTTACCCAAAACGAATAAAACTACTTTTTTTTATTTTTTTAAGCACTGTAGAATCCTAAAATTAAAAAAAATGACCAAAACTTACAACAGTCATATCAGCTTCAGGATCACCAACATAATTTGTGATAAACCCAGGTATTTGAGATAAAACATGTGTTGGTAACAATTGTATGCAAACATAGAAAGTGAAAAATGATATGACATCTTTTGGTAACATACCTAAAATTTTTGGGGTAAAATACGAACAATATAACTATTTTATAAAATATAAAATTAATCCTTCCTAATGTCAAAGTTGTTTTTTTGCATCTAGCTATACCATTACAAAATCTTTTTTTAAACGCGAATCTACAACAATATCCACAAAGCACCTCTTTACGTGAGCCACAAAACCAAAACCAACAATAGTATTAATAAAAGAATACTAAGTCTAAATCTGACACAACCAGTTTGACCATCAATGACAACCGTTATAAGCCTGACGACAAAAGACTGTAAGCCGATCGCTCAACCTTTTTTCCCCTTTTTTTCGGATTTTCTCGCGTTTTCGCCACAATTTGTGGGTCATCTGTGAAGCGCTGCTCCAAGACGAATGTTTTGACTGCGCGGAAGGGGGAAAGGTAAACTGGATATTGTCATAATGCTTCACCTGTTGTCATGAACTTGTGATTTATTCGAGCTTAAGTGAAACGAAAAGTTAAGGAATTGGAAAAGGTTAAAGATTTTTCAAAATTTTAAAATATGTTTGTACCGTACGGACCCGTGAAGAAGTGGGGCCGATTTGTTGATCCGGCATTAGGTCCAATTTTTTGGCCCAGCCCGTGTGGCAGATCGGTCTCTTTCGAATTTGCTTTTTTCTGGCCCAGTCTCTTGTACAAATTCATTAAAACAATAACTGGGACAACTTGTATTACCAAAAAAACTGTTAAAAAACTTAAAAAGATATGAACACAAGTAAAAGTTTAACTTTTTATTATAAAAGTAACTCGTTATAATAGATCATGCACGAACGCACTCTTTTGGTTTCACCACGATAACGAACAACGTTTAGCATTCTGAATCGTCATTAAGTCTTATAACTTATATTGCAGATCTATTTTTTCAGACTTTATCTACATGACAATATACTTCGAATAAAGTCTGAATCTCTGTAAATTTTTGAAAAAAAATCAAAAAGAATGAAAAAAAAACAGTTGTATATAGCTCCAAGTGTTCTACTTTTTTACCTTTACGTTACCTCTCCAACACTATTTTTATAACTTAATGGTTTTTAAAGTCGAAGCCAGGCTTTATATTTTAATGTTTTTATTTCAAATATAGCAGATAATTATTGAAAATTCACAACAAAATGAACCCTTATGATAAGACCCGTATGATACAGCATATTATACATGGAAACGCAAATCGAAAAAAAATATTATCACAATAAAAGTATAAGTTTGTACCTATATGACAATAAAAATGTGTTAGTTTGTTCAAATAATTCTCTGCCCCCCCCCCCTTTCAAAGAAAATTTTGAGAGTGAGAAGGCACAGAACTAGTATATGCCAGTAAAAGTAAAGAAATGGTATGTAGGTATTGACACAATTGTATATAATAGGTATGGCCGCATAACGCAGTAGAATGTTGTAAAATGTAATGAGGATTGAAGTCAAGTGTAAAATCAGTATGAAAGTGATTTTATGTTAGACTGCAGAACAAGTATATATGTGATAATGGGAGTGTTTTTTGAATTTTTAGGTATTAATCAGTATAGAATAGTGGGGGAAGAAAGTATAAAATATATACGATCAATACAAGTATTGATAATGGCGTTATATGTAACAGTAGTATCATCAACATTGAAATTATATAATACAGTAGTGTTATCAACAGAGACATCATATGCAACAGTAGTGTCATCATCTCTACTTCAGTTTAGCTGAAGGCTTTGGAGGCAAAGGCGGAGCATCGTAGATCTGCTCCACCTTTGGCCTCACCTCACTGACCTTGTGTTTGTGGCCAGGCTTTGGCGGTAGAGGTGGGGCCTTCAGATCACTTTCCTCGTCCATTGGCGGCAATGGAGATCGTACCGAAGCTAACGATGGGAATCTGGACATGCCTGGAGGCTTTGGAGGTCGTGGAGGTACTGTATTCTCTCCACTCAATGATTTAGTTGGGGCTGGTGACTTGGGTGATGGGGAGCGATTGCGTTCACTGTGAGATGTTACACTATGTTGATAGAGGTTTTGGGACCCGTACTCGCGTGACGAGCGACGTGGAGGAACTTGAGGTGGAGCGTCATCGACTACTGAAGATGAGGTTGAAGGGCAAGGTGAGGCACGTTTTACTAGGTCTGAAAAAGAGGTCGTATTAATGGATATTTGAAAAAAAAGTTTTAAAATGGTAATTTGTAATACAAAATTTTGAATTTTTTAATTTTTTTTAAAATAAAATTGTTTTTTTGATTTTGTTTATTGCCTAAAAACTACTCTTACCTAAAGTAATTTGTGACTTTGGAGGCAGAGGCAGGGTTTTACTGGCAGGTTTAAGCTCGTCTTTCATCGAGTTTCTATGCAGCGTATCAATGCCTTCAGAAGCCTGTCTTCTTCTTGGCGGTGGTTGACTCAAAACAAAATTCGGATTTCCACTTTTACTAAATTCGGAAGACGAAGCTTCATTCTCCATTCTATCAGATACAACAACATTAGACGAAGCCTCAGCCAAAGCCTCAGCATCAGCCGAAGCCTTTGCCTCAGCTGTTGATGAAGTTGGTTGTTGAAGATTCTGATGAACGGCTGATGATTTGCGACTTGATTTCAGTTGCAGCTCATCATCGTGATCTTGTGGTTGACAATGTACGGCCAGATTGGCTAGTTGTTCTTCCAGGTCGTGGGCTGAAGGAATGTGACAGGGTGGAGACTTTTGGACCGGCGACGTGACCGCTGATTTCGGTGCCATAACGGGACAAACTTTGGAAGTCGTGATGGAGTCTTTGGTGAGATTAAACTGAAAATTTGAATTTTATATTTTGAGGACTGTAAAATACGATCTGGTTCGCAAAAAATCAAACATGTAACGCGAAATTTAAAAAAGAAAAAAAACAGAATTTTCAAATAATTCTGTGCCTACTCTAAAAGCTAGTTTTTGGATTTAGAAGGCACAGAATTATTTGAACAACCTAATATATCAAAAAAAGAAGTTTCTGATGAAAACAACTTAAGAAAAAAATAGTTTGAAGCCCCCTCTACCCAAAAAAACAGTTTTTAAAAATCAATACACTCTCTAACCCACCCCATACTCACAAGTTGCTTAACATAATTGAGAAATATCAAACGATCAACTGTGTTGAACCATTTATCAGATGTTTAATTATAACAGAGTAAAAAGGGGGCGTTGGGAAGTTGGGATCGTACTTTAAACACGTGGTGAGAGTATAATGAAATCGAATGTCATGGGTTTACTGTTGACCGGAAACCGAAGCGGTTTGTATAATTAGTACAGTAATAAAAAGCAATTTCTTTACTGGTCTTAAAATAGAAAGTAATGTTTTAGGTAATAGTGATAAAGACTGGGGAATTGAATGAAAGATGTGGAAAAAAGAGAGAGAGAAAGTAAGAGTAAATCACAATGTTCTAATGCCCTAAAAGCTACAGTTAAGACAACATTAACCATGCAATAGTCAAAAGAAAAGTTATTTTATATTACCTTACAAATATACATCTATAACAACAAAAATAGACATCTACATTCACAACAATATGCTATCAACACACAAAATTGAAGTAAAAAGCAAAAACCCTTACAACTTGTCAAAGTAGTTTAAACGTAATCACCACAGCCCGTGGTGATTACAAAAGCTATAAATGAAACCTCGGTGCATTCTGGCTACAAAAACAACCTTGAACTGCACAGAAGGCTGTAATGACCAAACAACGGTCATTAACTTTCTAGAACAACAATATCAAGTTTATTTACAAAGCTCATACAACAGATATAGTCTTGCAAGAACATAAACAGGTATTACGTTTGTCATCCCCCACCCCTCCCTCACATAAAAAATTTAAAGAAGTTGAACCCCCCTGTCGATATTGAGTAACAAATTGAAAAAATTGATAAACTTAACACTGTTCACATATAACAAACCCTACTACAATATGCTAATACTAGTTAAAAGTGCCCCTCTCATATCACCCTAGTCCCCATAAAACAATTTTTTAAACAAAACCCTTAACCGCAGCTTAACAGCTTCACTATGACCTACAATAAGTGAAGATCACGTGAACAACCACCGTGTCACATTTAATAAAGTAATGTACCGCCGTTTGCACTAACAGTAACAAAGAATTGACCTTTAAACGGTAATTCCTTCACCAACCACCTGCCCATCCCACACCTCCGCCCGACCCCCCACCACGCCAACAGTACCAAAAAAAAAGAATTGTAAACTCATTCACAACGTTTTTAAGACGTTTTTTGCGCCGGAAGCCGTGTTTTGATTCAAAGTCAAAACGACATCAATCGTCTCTCACACCCAACCCCCACCCTCCCCTTGGTGATACGATGGTGTCTGTGGTCTATGTTGATGTAGTGGTGTCTATAGATTTTGAAGTTATCAGTAGAGCCATTACTCTATACCAATTCCATTATGTCTATGTTATTTTAGTGGTGCGATTATGTCTACTGACTACAATAAGAAGGTCATATCTATGTTTTCTTAATATCTTTATCTCTTCATATGTTACAGTAGCGTCTAAGCTCTGATGTTTAATTTCTTTGTATAATATCATCATTATTACTTTATCTTTAAATTATGTTAAAAGCAATCTTCACTTTATGACAAAAAAAGCTTAGCCTAAGCCTTAACCTTAGCCTTAATCTTGGCTTTGCATTGGCCCTCGTCTTGGTCTTAGCCTTAGTAATTAGCCTTGTCTCTAGCCTGAACCATAGACTGAATCCCAGCTCGAGCCCTAAGCGGGGCTTTGACCTTAGCTTTGACCCTAGCCTTAGCCTTGGTTCTAGTCTTGCCCTCCCCTCGCTATAGATTTGTCCTAGCTTGGTGCTAGCTTTAGCTTTACTCTAACCTCTCTCTCTCCCCCCCCCCCCCACCTTTTCAATTTTTAGTTTACCACGTTAATAATAGCCTTACAAATTGCCTCTACCCCGCGCATCTCCACCACTAACCCTACCCCACGCCTTGTCACTTTTAGCTTCAGTTCCCCATGTCAACATCGTCTTGGTTGCTTCATTGTGCGACGAAGCACGATGTTGCTGGAGAGTCCAGACGGAAGTTGGGCGCCAAACAGAAAAAGAGAAAGAATTGGGTGCGCGGACTTCCGTTCGGTTCAAAATTTCATTTCATCAACAGATTCATCAATTAAACAAATGTTCGCTTTTCGATATTAACTACCACGGGTGCAGACGGTTTTTATGGCGTTTAATGGTAGTAAAAAATAATAATACAGAAACTGGCTTGTTTATGTTGAAAGCTTGAACAAAGTGCTATTATAGTTAAAATAAAAAAAAATTTTTAAATTTTCTGTTGATAAAAAAACATACACCACCCAAGCCGCTTAGCGTTAGCCTTAGTTTCAGCCTCAGCCTTATCTTCTCCCCAAGCCTAAGCCCAAACCCATGCCCAGGTTTATGCTTTATCCTAATCTATATCTCCAGCCTTATCCCTATATTAACCATCAAAAAACTCTAAAAAAATTTTAAAGCTCCCAAATTAAAAGTCCGATTAAAAACTTCTGGTCAAAGACGAACTACGATGTAACGATGTAATCCACGGTAATACACTGTAAAAGTGCATAAAGATCAATCAAAATTCTAACTAGAACGTATTCCAAGAATTCACATGATTAACCATTTATCAGTAATACAAATACGTATCATAACATTTAGTTTTTAGGAATGTAACGTTGATATAGAATTACAAATAAAAAAAATAGGTAATGCGTTATTTTTGTAGTAAACTTATCTCAAGTACTGTAAATTCAGCGACCGTGCAATAAAATAGTAAAGCAGACAAAATACCGCTTCCTAGACAACTTTTATTTCCCCTGCTTTGCAGATATACTACAGAATCCTTCAAAACTGCCCTTGATCAAGCTATATTCATAATAAAGATAAAAAATATGTTATATTGTATAAAACACAATATTATATTACAGTATATATAAATAAAAAAACGATTACCTAGACATATTATAGTATATAAAACGCAAAATTAAATTAAACATACAAAAACCAGTTTTATAGTCTTAACATTGAAAGTGAAAAACAAGCGACTTCCGTTTCTTAACTATGTTTATATACCTGTCACTGTAAAGTAATACCAAAGATATTACAGCGACATCAAGTATAATATTGTACTTTAGAAAAACATTTATTTGTAAATAGTTTTTAAAGATTGCCATTAACTATATGTTCTTTTAACTATACTGTTTTCTTGGTATTAGCCTTCTGCGCATAAGAAAGACTATGAAGTTGTACTTTATGTTATAGTAAGTATAGACCATTAAAAAATCTTTGTTGACTACTATAACATGACATACAATACAAAAAAAAGAAAAAAAAATCATTTTAGATCGCTAACTATTTTAAAACTTTACATTTTTTAAATTCACAGAGTAATATTAATAAACGAGTAATGTAAAACCCCGCAACTTCCTGACATTACGGTACGAATGTTTTGCAGCAACGCCCAATTTGTCGATTAGTGGCTGCAAAGTAGTCATAAAAAACAATCTTCAACGTCTTGCACCACGAATTTTCTGGAGGAGGACCGGAAGTGACAGTCACGCCTTTTTGGTCGCTTTACAACAACACTTTTCGAAAAAAAACGGAAATCGAAGACTGCGCGATTAAAACGATGATTAAGACGGCGGCTATTAGTGTTAAAACATTGTTCGGTTTAGCAGTTTTGGGTTATTGGGTTTAGAAGTGTAGTCGTGGTATTGGTTTGAAAAAGCAATATAAAAAAGTAAATGCAATAACTTTAAAAAATTACATTGCCCAACCTTATCACTGATCTCTCTCCCTAGGCTTAATACTGCTCCAGATCTATCCTGAGTCCTAGCCCTTTGCCGTAATCCTAACCATAGCCGTTTTCTTCGCCCTGGCCGAGAGCCTTAGCCCAGAGCCCTAGCCCAGAGCCCTAGCCGAGAGCCCTAGCCCAAAGTCCTAGTCCAGAGCCCTAGCCCAGAGCCCTAGCCCAGAGCCCTAGCCCAGAGCCCTAGCCCATAGCCTAGAACACTGGCCTTAGATCAAACTTTTGCCTACCTTGTCACTAATATTTTTTACCTAAGCTTAACAAAGCCCTATCCCAAACCCAAGCCTCATTCCAAACCCCAGCCCTGGCCTAGCCTGTGCCTTAAGTCTGCGCAAATCTTACCCTACCCTAGTGTTATTTCCACCCTATTGTAATCAGCTTTATCCAAGCTCTACACCTTCTTTCCACCCCTGCCCCACCCCCACCTAATGGGTGTAGAAGTGAAAGGTTGCTTGTCATCCTTTAGGTGGGGGACGCACTTTGTGATTGCATATGACAAAATTTTGAAAAGTTGAAGAAAGACAATAACAAATAAAAATAGAACTTGTTTATAGTCACCGGAAGTGAAACGGAAATCAAACTTCACAGGTAAACCAAGTAAAACAAGGTAGTCAACACATAAAACATTTAATAGCATAAACAACTTTTACAAATACCACCCTCTCTCTATGCTCTTTTTGACCCCTGCCTTCTTACACTCCCCCATCCCTATACACTTGGTTCAATTGAAGCTAAAATATCTTTGTTTTAAATTTGCATACTTTGAACAACATTCCACCTCTTCCCCCCTCCCCTTGTCACTACCTCAGCTGCAGCCTGCCAGTGTAAATAGAATAGGTATTTATAACAGCTTAATTACTGTCAATTACCTTCCTAATTGCCGTTCGTTTGAAACCCCGGGTAAACACCATGTGATATGTTTTTAAACTGAGTGACCTCTCACTGACAACCGTTACCGTAATTGGTCATGTGAAAGACAACGGTTTCTATAAACAAACAGCAATTGACAGGTATTGATTGAAACAGTAGGGGAAGACAATCAAAAATTAAAAAAAAGTTACAAACAAACGAGTATATTTACAAAACCAAAAGGTACAATAAGATGCTATAAAGTGGTCATCATACTGTAGTTAGTACACATACTTAAAAGGAAAGAACTATACACTGTAAAACAATGATGTAACTCAAAACCCCTAAAATACATTGTCGCAGAGACACAATGTATAAAAAGTTCGTCGATGACAGGTCATTTCATCGACGAGTCGATGGAAAACACACTCTCTCGACGTCTTCCGGCGCGTTATTTTTAGTAAGAACCGCTTTCCATCATCCCATTTAACTTATTTTAAAGTTGTAGGCTTTCGCAATTGCACAAGGAACGTTACTTGGAACGATAAATATAGAAACGTGCACGGTTGGTGAAAGGCTTACAGTGTGATTGACAAAATGTTGAATGAGGGACCCTAGTGGGTAATGACAATCAGAGTTCACTATTTTGAAATTCATGTTCTGACTTCAGCAACGGCGCCCTTATATTTAGGAATTCTGATAACAATATAAAGAGTATATTATTTTAGATAATAACATTATAAAACGTATAACCTTAGAAAGCTTATCAAAGACCTCACTGTATTGTAATGCTGAGACCACCCCTTTCTTAAACCACAAGCACAGCCTCAAGTGTGCTTACTAAATACTATAAGATACATAGAAACCACAATGTGATGAATGTGATTTCAATAGCAAGTTAAGCCCAATGCCTACAAAACAGAAACGTCTGAAAATGAAACTTTAGCAATAAAGGCAGAAACAGTTAGCTGTAACGTGACGTATTAGTCATCTTGAAAAGTCATAAAGTTGCGAAAAAAACTGCAATACCCAGGTTCTACCGTAATACTGAAAAAACTCTATGACAATTTTTTCTTTAGTCCTACTGTTTCTCTGTCATAGTCTTATCATATCATAACTCAACCATAACTCAATTAGCCAAAAATCCTACTCTACCTACAAACTCAAAATCACACTCGGTCTAAAAATCACTCTAAAATGTTATTGTAGCCAGTCATACAAAAACAAGATTCCAGTTTTTTTCGCCAAACAAATACAAATCACATTGAAATGGTGTTACAACTACACCGAGTGCACTTATTTTGATGCCTGCTGGTCAAACTGACCTTTAAAATCAGATACACAACATAATAAATTAACAGAGTAATTGGGAAGTTACAACTCGGTTTCTAAGAAAGCTGGTCAATGTTAATAACAGTTTAAAAAGCACTGGGTTTAATACCATAAGTTGCTTGGTATGACTGTTGTTTTGACAGTAATGTGTGAGTACCATATTCTTTTATAAAGATATCAGTGCATATGATTGATATTGTAGTAGTAAAAGATTGAAAGTTAGTGCATTTTTATTATATTAAAACGTCAAAAAAAGCTTTGTCGTTTTTTCACGTAGAAATGTACGTAGATTGACAACAAAACTTTTTTTACAACATTAAACATATTTTTTTAAAAATATTTTAAAAAAGAACGTAAATTAAACCCTATACTTCACATACTATATATCAATTTACCACAGTAATCTTTAAATTTTTCGCAATTTTATTTCGTATTTCAAAAATTTTTTTTTGTTTTGACATATGTCGCCACCACGTTATTTACTTTGTAGTATAAAATAAAAAACAAAAAAATAAAGGTTTATGATGCGATTCTTCACCCTAATTTCCCAAATCTCGCGAATCAAGCTGGCGACTTTACTGCATCACGTAACCATGTTTGGTTAACCCAGCGATCTTGATTTACGAGCTGACGGAAGTTGTACAATCATGTCAAGCCTTCACAGCCGTTTCCTTGAGGAAGCTTGTTAAGTCAATGTATTGAAAAAGGCATAATGAGAGTTATATTGTAGGGTTTTTGAGATTTTTTAGAATTTTATTTTAACATAGAAAGTACTGAACTTTAAACTGAAAATTCAGAAAAAATGTAAATTTTAAATTTAAAAATAGAAAAAATAAGCTAAAATTTTGGACGCACATTTAGCATTCTATGAGTATGTCTTATACAAAATTTTAGCCAAATCTACCAGCTTCATTTTGAGTTACAACACTTTTTATATTGTTCATTGGATCAAGACCTTCTTTGCTTATAAACCTCCAAAATCCTTTCTTTTCATCATTTACAATAATATTGCTATTCTAAATTATAGTATGCTACAATACCAGCCTCTTCAGCCACACTCCACCGCCAACTATACACCCAGCAACGCTCACGCGTGGCTAAAACCCATCAAGAAAAGTCGCATCAATCATCGCGCACCGCCAAAACGCCGCAAGCACCGAAAACCCCATAATAAAATAACCCGCAGATTTCGAGAAAAATGTCGAAAAACTTCTGGAAGACCTATACCTACATGACGAATAACATTATTAAGACTTCCGGCGTTCGCGCAGTAATCTGGTGCAAATCAACTGACCGTCACGCAGTTAGTTAAGTTTGTAGCTTCAATTCTATCGTGCAATCAATCAAAGCAAGGTTATAATGTTGTAGATTTGAATTGTAAAGGGCTTTACTTCAAATTTTTTAAATTTCAAAAAGTTAACTTCAAGTTACAGCTTTAAAAACTGATATTAACATTGTCAGTCCAACAGCTTCATTAACACTATTATAAATCTCATCAATAAAACAAAAAGTACATCAATTACTCTCAAAATGCATCAATTACACTCACAAAAGCATCAATTACATTACCGACCCCGCACTTGGCATACCCAACATTTTTGTCAATTCTCTTCAGCATTTCCGATATTATCCATCACATAACTGCTCAAACAATTTCCATTTCATAACGAATCTCTTCATAAAACCCTTTTTTAACCACTTACTCAGCACAGAGAGCAGAAGGTCAATTCAGATTCCTCTATAAATTACAAGAAATGTGGTTGTAATCGATTTTAGGTTCACGTCTTTGCTTTGAAATCTAAAATTTTTAAAATTTAAAAGTTTTACGTCCATTATCAATGTATTTTGTACTCCAGCACAATTGAAAACCAAAAACTTCTAAATATATATCATAGACAACACAATGAACTGTTTGTTGTAAATCTAAAACCGATTTAGGTTTACACAGAAGCCGATATTACACTAGACATTTGATAGTCGGCGGAAGTTTAATATCTAAAATTAGATTAATTAATAAAACTTTAGCAAAAAATAATTATAAATGTGAACTTATCAACACAAAACAACACTAACCAATAGCAGAAATCTCAAAATTCAATCAATATTTGAAAAAACGTCATAATGACGCATTTTCTAGACTTCACAACATTTTTCTTCGAAAAAACCAAATCATCGGAAGTTACCTGCCTTTCCCTTTTAACATTTAGATTGTGAATTATATAATTATTTGAATATTTAATTAACTGACATGAAGCGACAACGACGACCCGATCACAATAGACCTGGACAAGACCGGGATTGGCGGCTGGACGATATTGAAGTAGGTCGTCCGCTTGGAAAAGGAGCTTTTGGACGAGTCTACTTGGCCAGAGACAAGATGGAGCAGATTCCCTTTGCTTTAAAAGTAGGTTCTGACTTTTTTATGCTTTTTTTCGTATCAATTCGGTAGTTTATATTGTTTTAGGTTATACATTCATGCTTTATCGAGGTTATGTTAGTTTTTCTACGTTTGCAGTGATTGGTATCGTTTTAGATCATATTCAAAAGCAAATTGAAAACAAAAAACATGGAGGAGAACATTATTAGAGAAATTGTCAACCATACCCATCTAGTGTAAGTTTTTCTACGTTTTTCTCAAATTTTAGGTAATATCATTGGTTTTAGTCTGTTTGATTGGGATGAAAAAGGTATATAGGTTATTTTAGTAATTTTAGTAGATTTTCATTTAAATTTAAAAGTAATTTGACTTTTATTATCTGAAATATGTTGTTTTTGTGAAATAAAATTTGAAAACGGATAATTTACATTGTTTTTGATATATAAAACAATATTTTTGTTTGACTTCAGTAATTGTAATATTTTTTAGTCATCCGAACATAATAAGATTGTACAACTATTTTTACGACGACACCAAGATCTACATTATGTTAGAGTACGCATTGAATGGAGAAGTCTATAAAGTTTTGGGTGATTGTGGGCGATTTGTTGAGGAAGATGCAGCTAAAGTAAGCCTTACAGTTATTATTTTTGAAAGTTTAGGTTTTAAATGTTTAAAAACATTTACTTTTAGTATATTTATCAAGTAGCAGATGCGTTAGAATATTGTCATCAAAAGAAAGTCATTCATCGAGACTTGAAGCCAGAGAACCTGCTCTTTGACGATGAGTACAACATCAAATTAGCTGATTTTGGATGGTCAGTTCATTCGACAAAGCATAGGTAAGCAAAAACTTATTTTTATCACTATTTTTGGTTAATTTAGGTAACATTTTATTATTTAAATCGTCACCTTTTTTAATTTACCATTTATTATATATTATCTATCTTATCATCTTTTAAGCCTTAAGGTCGAAAATTTAAGCACATTTTGATCAAAACCTAACTTTTTCAGAGAAACCTTTTGTGGTACGTTAGATTACCTAGCTCCAGAGCTTGTGAACGCCGAAGCACATTCGTTCTACGTTGACTACTGGTGTGTTGGAGTATTGTTGTACGAGTTTCTGACTGGTGTTGCACCATTCATGGACAAGACTGAAGTTGGGACGTATAAACGAATCAAGACCGGTCTTTTCTCCATACCTGATCATGTCAGTAAAGGTGCTACGAATCTGCTTAATGAGGTATGTTGTTTTAGTTGAATTAGTTAAATTTGGCTTTGATTTGAGGTAACATGGCGTTGTGCGATATAATAATCTATGTGTGGGTTAGTAGTTACATTATTTTGAGCAGGGGTTTGTTTGCAAGGATTTTTGAGCGGGTTGGGGGTAGTTTTGTATGTCTGAAAAGTTTTTTTTTTCAATTATAGTATAATCTTACGGGTTGGAGATATTACATATTGCAATATTGTTCTATTCATGACGTATTGCATCAAGTACAAGATTGTTGTGAGCAAGTGTAACTAAAAGTAATCTAAAGCCTCTTTCTTGCTACTACACTTTAAGATTGACATTGACTATTTTACAGTTTTTATTACTTTTTAAGGCTTTTCTTTTCTTACGTAACGTTTGGTATGTTGTCCAGAGTGTTTGATGTATGCTTATACTGTGCGGTATAATAAGAGTTATTCTTTCTGGGGGGGGTGAAGACCCAAAAAATTTTTTTTGGTCCACAGTAGCTAGCTACCTGTGGACCTAGAGGGGGGGAGTCACCCCGAACCACCCCTCCCCCTCCCCCCCCCCTCCCCCCAAACGACGTCTCTGTGTTAAATGCATGATATATCGAAGTTTATGTTCCATGTTATAAGATTTGTTTTGCTTGTTTGTAACATATATTAAGCTAGAAAGAAGGGTGATATATCTTAAGTGGAGATAATAAAAGTTTAAATTATGGTTATAGAGAGAATGAAAAACATGAAATATTGACATAGATGGATAGAAAAAGTAAAAGTAGTGTTATAGAGGTGAAGAACCATGGAAAACATTGTTATAATGTTGAAGAAAAATGAAAAATGCTGATATAAAGCACGAAAAAGAGGTAAAATATGAAGATATGTTGAAAGAAAAACTATAATTTATGGGAGTTATCTCTAGCTATGAATCAGGCAAACTTTAGGATGGTTTTTCTTTTAGTGGAGATATTTTTATATTGTTATTTATGTTGATTTATCAAGTATATAATTAATGATATGATTTCGAGGAAGTCTTTGGAGAGCAAAGGTTAGATTTGAAACATCTATGTTAATATAAAGTTTTAAATATAGTTTGAGTTGAGTTTTGAAGTAATTTTAAATTTTTGATGACTTTTTGTTGCTCATGTCCAGTATCTTTCTTTACTTTTGTATCTTGTAGCTAGCTCCAAATTTATCCCCTCTCCTAGAAAAAAATCCGCAAAGACCTCACTAGTTACTCCAATGAACTACTGTAGCTTTACCATTCGAAGAGAGCTCTTCTCTGACATCACTGAAATGACATATCTTGATGTAGAATAGCACTTCTTGGCCTTTTGCTGCTATTTTTACAAAAAACGAAATTAAAAATGTCACAAAAAGTTGCTTATTTTAAGAAAAAGTTCTATTTTGGTCGAGATGGATGGGTTAATTGATGGTACTACTATGATATTTCTTGGGAACTCAGCTTTTGGTCTTTGGGCTAGTTTTTAAGGTGGGCTACTTTTTAGGCTACTTTGGCCAATTCGAATAAAAAATTTTTAAAAATGTGTGAACTTTGACTATTTTGTGGCCCCAAAACGTTAACTTTTATTGTTATGTGAATTCCAGGACCTTTGATGTAGTTTTATTCGAAACGTTATTGGACTTTTATTAAACAGAGGTCATCAACTTTTTGTTTTTGATATGTCTAGTCGAATTCTCTGGATTTTGTTTGGTACTCTTAGAATTTTGTCTTTTTTGGTTTTTTGAGGGTTTAAATCATTGGTATGATGTTACAGTAAAATTGGTAAAACATTTGCTATCTTGCAGTAGTTTGTAAAGTCAAATCTCTTTAGTGTAACGCTCGATAGTATGGCACTCTTGTTATTATGATATCTTTTTGGCGGCTTTTGTTATATATAGAACTTTTATCAAAAATTACCTGGGTATTGTGACACTGTGATTATAATGGCACTCTAATGCAGTTTTTTTCAAAAAACTGAAAGGTATAGGAGAGGGTAAAGCTTTTTAGGTTGGAGGTAGAATCCTTGTGTTTGTCTTTTTGTTTTGGGATGTTTTGACGATGTTTTAGGTTCTAGTTGTGATGTTAATGATGTTTTATGTTCTAATTGTCATGTTGATGGTGTTTTAGGTCCTAAAAGTGCAACCGGAAGAGCGTTTGGACCTGGTCGGAGTTATGAGTCATCCTTGGACCCAATCACATCTAAAGCAAGATGTAAATGCTAATCAAAACAAGTAGCTGGTGTGATTAAATGTCAATTGTGATTTATTAAAACTTATCACTATCTGTACGTTTTTTTAATTTTTTTATTTGTAACGGGGCAGGGTATGTAGCACTGAAACAGGGGATTCAACGGTGGCAGGCTTTGTTACTATGTTTTTTTACTCTGGCGGTTATCTTTATTCAGGTTATCTTTGAAAGAGATTTACGAAAGAATGGTATTCAGGGGCGTCGCTACGGATTTTTTTAGGGGGGGTGGATCCACCCCCCCTAGCGACGCCCCTGATGGTATTCTTCATCCTTCTTCTCTACTTTACCCTTCTTATGATCCTTATGTAATCTTGTCTTCTAAACTACCCTACTACCTACACCTAAAAGCGAGCCTACTAGACCCAGTTAGTGGGCTGGACCGAAAAATTCGACCCTGTCCTTTTACAAGTCAAACCCTAACCTTACTCCTTACTAACGGACAGCCACCTTAATGTATTGCCTTGATTGTTGTTGCCAAAAACGTCGATCATGTTGCCCGTTCCAGGAAGTAGTTTTTTGGTCCAATTCGTAGGAAAGCCCCCGAGGGCCGGGCGGCAGCTTTCACGGGCCTTTAACACGTTATTAGAAACACCAAATGACACTTGATTGAGGATTCGTCGCTCTTTTGTTCGGCACATTGTTTTTGGTTTTATCCGTCAAGTTGTTTTCCCCGGATTTTCATTTCCGATACCTTACCCTGTAAACCGAGTTTTAATGGTGTTTGAGGTGGCTGATGACGAGTAATGGGTGGCAGAGGGATAGTATGGGGGTAGGGAAGGGACAGTATGGTGTGGGAGAGGGATAGTACGATGGATACTGTGTCAAATTACAGGGTTTTTGGGTACTGTGGGGGCTTTTTTAGTGAACTTTTATATATTAGGTTGTTCAAATAATTCTTTGCTCTCATTCAAAACAAGTTTTTGGGATTAGGGTACATAATTATTTGAAAAAAATAATAGATCTATGGTTATAAAAGAAGTTAACATATCTTTTCATTACTAAAGTAGTTGATGAGTTTACAGTAGTACGCTATTATTACAATCTACATACTAAACTTTACTATAAATGACTGTCATACCATGGTATATCTCAGAATCAGAATATCTTTATCAAATAATACCTCAAAACCTAACCCAAGTTTGGCTGCCTTCAATATTTTTAAAAATCATAACTTATGCAAATCAGGCGGACATGTTGTTTACACTTTTTGATCTGAAAGATCACCGTAATGCATTAAATCGAAGTGTTTTTGGTGTCGATGAGGGTCTTGATGAAGATTTGCATAATTTGTCGCCGGAAATTTTGGTTTTTTCTTGTTTTTATAACTTTATTCCAGCCAAATGTGTTCAAATTTTGAAAAATTTTTATTTTTTTCTTGTGACACGTTACAGTAAGAATTTTTAAACAGTATGACATAAGCAGTGGGGGAAGGGTGGTTTTGGCTTATGAAGGGGAGGATTTTCTGAAGTTTTTGTAATTTTGAAAAAAAGTCTTTGGTCGTCTTTGCTTAAACTTGGTTGGCTTTGCTTAAGTTTTTTACTCAAAAAGTGTCATAAATTTGAAAAACAAAGCTTTGCCAATAAAAGGCTATGTACAATATACCATATATCATCAAATGCTGTAAAATAGAAATACTTCACTTTACTTTACTTTAACATATATCATCAAATGTAATAAAAAAGAAATACTTTAAAGCGCAATAAATTTCGAAAAAGTAACAAATCTCCCAATTCCTTGGCCTAAAATGAAAGAAACTTTGCGCTTTGAGATGTTTTTTTTTTCAAAATTTATCGAAAGTTTATTTTTGGTCAAGCATTCGGGGAAATAATATCTAAAAGAGTAAAATCTAAAGTGTTCCTCGTCAGCCAAAAGTATTACATTCAATCCGAGAGCAGCGAGTCAACAACGTTCGGTTTAAGCTAATTTCGGGCACTGAAATAGAACGTTCTTCAAGCGTTCGCATTGTTTTTTAAAGATTATGTGTTATATTTGAAAGGGGGAGGGGTAAGAGTTTTGATGATTATTTGGGAAATTACAGTAGATTTTGTTCAGAGCAAGGTGGTAGAGGGAGGGGGGGGATGATTTCAAACTATTTATTAGGTTGTTCATATAATTCTGTGCTTCCTCTCAATGCAAATTTTGAGGGTTAGGGACACAGAATTATTTGAAAAATCTAATAGAAAAAAGGTAAGGTAGGATAGGGTAGGGTAATGTAAAGTATGTTAGGGTAGAGTATGATAGAATCGCATTGAGTAGGCTGGGTCATATAGAGTAGGTTTTCTTTTATTTATCTTATCTCTAGTGAAAATTGGGATTTGTTCGTTGCTCATTACTATCTTGATTCCGAACTAGAAAACAATTCTTTAAAAAATTTGAACTTGATGGACTTTTGTTAGAAAAAAAATTTTTTTACAGTGATTACTTGCCACAATCAAATGTTTTAACATACTTTTGTTAAGAAAAGTCAAACATAAAATTTTAAAGTTCAGGCTTTACTATGTGTCATCAAGCTTTTCTATTAAATTTCATGACACATTTTGTCAAATAGAATGTAAAGTTTTTATCCTTATTTTATAAAGATTTTACGTTTTTATTATGTTAAAGCTTTGAAAAATGCGTGATAAGTGAAGGATATTGTTATAATATTCAAATGACCTACAATATTCCGTAAACAAATTTTAAAGTCTGGATGATGACGCGATTAGGAACGTGATAACGGCACGTGCTTGGACTGATAGAATAAAGAAAATCACGAAATTTAGTGGGTTTTTGATAAGACTATACTATTAAAGTAGGCTATTGTATAAGGGGTTTTTATACTTTGCTAAGAAATGGCATGAAAGTTAGTTTTAATTTATAGTTTTTGGATTTGGTACAAAAATATGGGGGACTACTTGTACTACTGGAGTTTCTTGAATTTTGTTTTCAAATTCAAAAACAAAGATTAAACTTTGATGACACTTGAATTCAGGGAAAAGTTAAGTCCACCAAGTCGTTCCTTTGTCGGCACGGTGTAAGATTGAAGGACGTTTTACTATCTTATTCTTTACTCTTTGTAAAATATGTGGCAACTAGTCTTGTACAGGGTATATAAGGGGATGGGTCTTGGTTTAGGCTTCTTTTCAGGTCTTGTGTTCTGTGGTATGTTTTTTAATTGAGACAGTGCTTTTGTACTTGGTAATGCCTGACTTTTCACTGATCGAAAGTTCAGTTTGATTCAAAAGTACGTATCATCGAACTTACAATAGGCACGTACAGTAGAACTTCTGTATAATAAATTTTTTTTTATATGGAGCGATTTTTAAAGTTCTGACTACTACTTCACTGTGAATTTACGTTTTTTTATGACAAAACTTCTTCATAACAAAAAGATTTATAATTCGCGAGCAATTCGCTATGTAGAAGTTCGTTACTGTATTTTCATGTATAGAGGCTATGATTTCAATTTTGACGTTGATTTTCTATAACAATAACAGTATATGGCTCTGTTGCGTAGATGAGGATGTTTGTTCAAACGTGTCGAGATTAAATAAATAAATTGTGAAGGGTCAGATAATTATGAGTTGTGTTTGCTCACTAGCCAAAGTTTAATCAGGGATCAAGTGGGATGCCTAGAGTCAGGAGGAAGAAAGTAGCCACGTTCAATTTTTTAAAATTTTTTCATTTTTTTAAATAATTTTATTGATAAGAATAAAATATAGTAGGTACAATGAAGCGGGGGTGGGCAATTTTGGGACTGGGGGAGGAAATGAAGCAGCAAAAAATTGCAGACAAAATTAGGTAATTAACCAGCAGGCTTTGACTGTCAATACGATAGTTAGGTTGTCAAGGTTGTTTTCGATGAACTCAACTATGGCCTTTAGATTCTGCATGTTAGTAAAAAAACTTTTGGTAGATATTATGGAAAGGTTTTATTTTGAGATAAGGGTAAGATATACCTAAAGCAAAGTTAAGCTAAAAAAGATTTTAAAGGCAGAATAAGATAACGGTAAGACTAGTATAAAAGTAGGGTATTAAAGGGTAAGGTAGGACAGGGTAGAGTAGCGTATGGAAATATAAGGCAGCGTAATCAAATAGGGTATGGTAGGGTACATTTTTTGAAAAGTGCATAGAATATCCCCCCCCCTCCCCCTCCACCTTCAAAACCCGCGTTTATCACACTCTACGTCATTTCATGACAAAGTCTCATACTGAACGTCACAATATCACCGTGATGGTCGGTAGGCTGCCAATTAATCTCGACTTTCATTGCGTCAGTTTGTGGTTATTTATCGACTGGCTTTTTGATTGATTCTCTATTGATTCGGAGGCTTGGCCTTGTGATAACCATGTGTCCAACTAACGTTTTATTGTTTTTATACCGCTCCCAAAGCCGTTTCTAACAATAATGGCGTCTTGAATGGTTATTACTTTGACAGTAAACAAATCTACCACAATTTATTATTATGTCGGTTTAGAGGGGGGGGAGGGGGGGGATTTTTTCTGTTAAGGGGTGGTATTGGTGATTTATAGATAAACCTAGGTATGGTTATATAAAATTTGCTATGGCATAATGTTTGGGAAGATTTTAATTTTTTTTGGATATTGACAACAAAATGGCGTAAATAATGGCATTTTATTGGCTTGTACTATTAAGTTGTTTTTTGGTTTCAAACAATGACGCCAATGTCAAACGTGATTGATTTTGGTTGGAATGCACTTTTGTTTCCATGTGTTTCGAATATTGTTACTTAAAAAACGCGTTTGAGACGTTTCTAGCTTATCAAACATCATATTGTACTGTAAAGTACATATGGTACTGTGTAGTACAATATCTCATATTTTACTGTAGAGAATGATAAGTTTATACCATTATAATAAGATGATATATTGCTGCAATTTTTGAAACCATTTGTTATTACCCTATATGATTATTAGTAACACCATACCTTCCAAGTAATTCATTACGTTATGCTTTAATTTCTGACGGTTTAATTCAGAATCCGGCC